CAAAGTCGGATTTACGTAACCCTATATTTGCTAATTTGATTGTGAAGATTGTTCTTCAGTTTACCGGAGAGCTCAATAATCATATAATCACTGTTAAACGTTTGTACAGGTGACAGTTTGATTTGTTTGGCTGTGTGTGGTATATCCCGGTGTGCCGCGGGGTGTCACGGTGTGCTGTGTCACCATGTCTCTGCATGCGTGTTAGGAGCGAGCGGAGGGCACGGTGTGTGTCACGGCGTGTGTATCACAATATCTCTGTGCGTGGCGAGCTAGGGTGAGTGGAGGTCATGGTGTGTCTCACCGTGCACCGTGTCACACCGTATCTCCGTGCATGGTCTACCAGGAGCGAGCAGAGGGTACTGTGCTGAAGGTCCTGACCGCGTTCAAGGCGGCCGACATGGAGCGTGGCGTGCGCTCGCTGGACCAGGGCAGCGTTGACCTGCTCATGCAGTATGTCTACAAGGGCTTTGAGCGGCCCTCCGAGAACAGCAGCGCCGTGCTGCTGCAGTGGCACGAGAAGGTTTGTCGCTGCGCGTGTGTGGGGCTGTCACCCCGTCGTGTGCTGTGCCGGCCTTCATAGCTGCTACTCGCTAACAGCACTTGCCCTAACAGTCTGTCAAGACTATATGGGGGATATTTGTGCGCCTGTAGTTGCATAGGGAGTGGTAGTGTAGTGGTTGGCGCGTTGCGCTAGGAGACTTGCGGCCCAAGTTCGATTCCCGGTCACGGCCAACGCCGATCCTGGGCCTCCCCTTGGTCAACTCGATCTCAAATGAGTACCTGGTGCCGTGTGTAAACACCGCCACGAGGGAGATAACGGTGGCCAGGTGTGGTGCTGGCCATCCACCCCCTTGTGCCGTTCTGGCCTTCATAGGTGCTCGCTAACATCACTTGCGTCAACAGTCTGATAAGGCTCTATAGGGAATTTTTGTCTTTGTGTGCAGACTCTGGGGTTTCTATTGATCCTGATGTTGATGCTGTCACTGTCTTTGCTTGGCAGGTGTTGGCGGTGGGCGGCCTGGGCTGTGTAGTTCGTGTGCTCACTGCTCGTAAGATGGTGTGAGGGGCAACACAACCGTGGGCTCACCAACCAACACCGCTCATCAACCCCACTTCAAGTTTACCGCCATCATCACCCGTCGCCAACGCTCACATTACCAATGCTCAACGCAAACACCACTGCCCCATACCGCTCACTACCAAGCCCACCACCACAGATTTCTACAATCAATGCTCACCCCTTGCCACCACCGCTCACCATCACCCTAGGCATTCCACTCCCCGGGATTTGTTTAAGTGTTGAATGTTTTTGTATGGCGAGCCGAGGGCATGCTGCTGTGCCGCGGTGCACCAAACCACTCGCAATAAATTCGCTTCTCCCCTGGTTTCCACCCGAAGTTGTGTCCTTTATAGAACCTGCTAACTGATCCCTTTGAATAGACCACTCGGTCGTCATGGCACGGAATATACTCCTGGCAGTCGGGCCTGCTTTCAGTTCACGTACGTGTGCAACCCTCTTGTCACTCCGCTACTGGATGAGTGCCTCCCCATGGGGATTGTTTTACCATACTTCCCATGCTGTTTGAAGGCAGGGCACAGACGTTGGAGTGTAGTAAAGTACGATGGGTTATTCTGCATCTGCCCTCTGCTAACAATATAGCCCCGAAGCAGCCTATAACACCTGTGTTATGCATGGGGGTTGCCCATACAAAGTAATATCCAGGCTCAGCCCTGCTTGGCTTATGAGATCAGGCCATTCCAGCTAAATGGGTCATAGGTTTAAGTAATAATTTTGGCACTTGCCCATGAAAGCCTCATCGAGTCTCAAGACTCGGTTTTCAGAAGCATGCTTCCACATTGGCATGTGTGGGCATGCCCTCACATCGCGATGATGATGAGAGTTTGCCTCCCTTTGGACACGCATGAGGATGCAGGAATCTCATTGAGTCGGTGGTACGAGACACGATGTGGTAGTACACGTGCGAGGGTTGCAGATCTTTTATTCCCAGGGCTTAGAAGCACAGCGATGATCCGAATAAGTTAGTTTCAGGAGCCGACGGGGAGAGCAAACCAACAAGTATTTTTTTGTCCCAGAACTGTACCCATGAACCCAAAGGTCCCCCATATAGCCTACACAGGCTACTGGGGCAAGTGCCGCCGATGAAGGATGGCACGGCACACTGAGGGGGTGGTGTGGCCAGGACCATGCCCAGCCACCTTTGTCTCCCCAATCCTGATGTTTGCATACGGCACCAGGTTCTCATTTAAGGCTGAGTCGACTTAGGGGAAGCCCAGGATCCGGTGTAGATAATCACCTAAATTGTCTGCGGGCAGGAATTAAGCTCGGAATGCCAGGTTAGTAGTGCAGTGCGCCAACCACTGCACACACATCAACTCATTTACACACGCGTGCACTAACACACGAACTCACAATCAACCCCCAGTGCGATGTCGCACTTCAGGCAGTAGTCGCCTCTCGCTTGACGGCAGTAACTGCAGTGTAACCATGGTAACTGCAGTGTAGCCACGGTGACTGCGGTGCAACCACGGTGACTGCGGTGCAACCACGGTGACTGCGGTGCAACCACGGTGACTGCGGTGCAACCACGGTGACTGCGGTGTAACCACGGTAACTGCGGTCTAACCACGGTAACTGCAGTGTAACCACGGTAACTGCAGTGTAACCACGGTAATGCTGTCCTTGATGCAGCAGAGGAGAAGAGCTTCTACGCCGGAGTGCAAAACGCCCCTCTAACCGCGACCGTCACGTGACGATGCACCCTAACCCGACGCCAGAGTTAACGCGGTCAACTGGGAGCTTATTGAAGACATAGCCTGGTCCACACCCGAGCGATCAGTTATTGATCATATTTGAGCACGTCCGGTACTGGCGCCGTCGTTCCGATAGCCCAGGGCGACCATTGCGAAGGAAGGTGCCACTGCTGTGTTTCGGACGCGGCCTGCGGTGATTTGACAGCGAAGGGGGGAGATGGGCGATGTTGCCGCTGCGTGCGATCCCTATCTCGCCATTTGCGGTGTAATTTTTCGAATTCGTACCATCACGCTGGCACACGACTCGTTTAGAATGTCACAGGGGATCTTTAACATCCGCTGTGAAGCAGACGGCACGCGGTGCATGTTTGGTTAACGCCACAGTAGTAACCAGGACGACCTGCCGGATTGGAACCTCGAACCTCTGCAACAAGCGGCAAATCCGCTGCCACTTGGGCCCAGATTTGCCCTTTGCACCACAAACAGGGTGACCAAAGAGTTGTGATTGCTTGACAAAGCGCAACCCGTGCAATCCATTGCACGCAACCGAGTCGCTTGCACTTAGACGTCTCTCAAACTCCATTGTGAAGAGACGGACTCGGCTTTTAAGCATCGATCGGCTCTCCAAATTGTACTGCCGAGACGCTGCGGACATAGCAGCAGCGAGCTGCGTGTGCGGACGATGAATGAGCTGCGCAATTTCGAGAGCGACTCGAGTCGCGCAACGGTAACCGATGGCTCTGACGTGGAGACGGTATTAGTCTCGTTGAACAGTGGAGCTTTCCCGGTGTTTCAGTGGCTCTCAAGCAGTCGCTCTTAGCCTAAACACAACCCCCCACCACACAGTGTTACCAACGAAGCCACTCGGTGAGCCCCGGTCTGTGTACAAAGACGAAGGTCCCCCCCACCCACCCTGTAGCCTTAACAGACTGTTGGGGCAAGCGTTGTTAACGAGCAGCACCAACATCAGGATCAAAAGCAACCCTGGCCGCTGCGCACAACACTTCTCCACACACACACAACCCTGCACACACATAGATCCCTCGTATCGTCTTAACAGACTGTGCTGTGAGCGAGCACAGCTCACGAGAGGGTGGGTGGCGAGCACCACTCCCGGCCGTCTTTGTCTCACCAGGGGCGATGTTTACACATCGCACCGAGTACTCATTTGAGGCTGAGTCGACCTAGGGGAGGCCAAGAACCGGTTCAACTCGGGTCGCCAGGGTTCGTAGCACAGCGCGCTAACCACTGCACCAGTGTCCAAACACGCAAACACAGCCATCACCCTGGCTTCCTCAGTGCACTGTGGTTTGCATCTTCACTCGGACCCATTAGCTTTGTCTCGGGTTATAGCTTGACGTGGTAGTAATGGTAGTAATGATGGTGATAGTAGTGGTGATGATGGTAGTGATGGTGGTGATAGTAGTGGTAGTATTGATGGTGATAGTAGTGATGATCAGATTAACACGTCGGCTTTCGCGACCAATATCCATAATAGTCGTGAAAATCCGCCACCACCCGACACAGCCAACTAGTAAGGGTTGTCACGTAAACAGAACGTGGCCAATTCGTCACTAGTACAGCACACCAGTGTGTAGGAGAGCCAAGCCACAACTAGCTTCATCAGGCGACAGATTTGTGGAGAAGTCTTATTGTTTCGTTCCATATATATAGGAGTAGATGTGGTGACCACGCTTCGCGCTCTTGCAGTTTGACTTCTCCACAAATCTGGCTGTCGCCTGATGAAGCTAGTTGTAATTACTGGCGAAACGTCATACTCTGATTGTAAATGTTGTGGCTTGGCTCTCCAACACACCGGTGTGCTGAACTAGTGACGAACTGGCACGTTCTGTTCACGTGACAACCCTTACTAGTTGGCTGTGTCGGGTGGCGGCGGGTTTTAACGACACATTTATATATTTACGCGATCTAACCCAAACAAAAACCTCTATTATAGTGGTGATGATGGTGATATTGGGCAGTAGTAACCATCTTCATCCACTCATCGTCATCGTTGACTCTGATCAAATAAACACTGTCGACGTAATATTTTTTTATCTAAACAAAATTAACACTGCCCGAAACTCCCCCCCCACACCACATTCAGTGTACCCCTCGCAACGAGCTGTGGCCGCCACTATTGCAGGGTCACGTGCCACCTACCCCAGTCTAGCAGCAACCCCGAAAATATTTCGGTGTGGAAATCACTCGACACGTTCAACAATGCACGCCCCTCCGCCACCGAGCGACGATTCTCGAGCCGCACTGTTCGATTGTCGCGGTCCAGCAACGGTTGATTGTATCTTACGCCGTGGCGCTGTGATGGGCGATAAAAGAAAAAACGGACTTTCAAACTAATCACCGATCGCGCAGCTGAGGCGGAGGGCGGGCGTTTCCCATGACGCTTGCCAATGAATCGACGCGGCGATCAACGTTCGACGAATTTATACCCTTACCGGAGCCGTCGGATTAACCGTGGATTAACCAGACTGACCTCGATTCACGCTCAACAAGCCCATAGATGGGCAGAGACACGCCCCTACGACAGGCGACGCCACCCCTACTTTCTTCCACACACACGGACTGATTGGCGATCTCGTCGGATGTCCGATTCGATTGCATTACAGCGCCTCTAGTGGCTGCTGCAGGAGATCCCCTTCACACGCGGCACGGAACCGGCACCGGAGCAGATCGATTGTCTCGCCATCGCGGGGGCGCGCCGGATCGATCCGTCGACGACGCGGTGTCATGTGGCGACTTCTTGATCCCCACCGCCGCCACCGACCCGCTGACTTCACCACCACCTGTCGTCTCGACGTTCCCGGCCAATGCCACGATCCGCCGGATGGTGCGGGAGGTGGCCATCGCCACTGGCGACGGGTCAACCGTGGGGCAACCGTGCTAACTTGGTGGGCGCCTCCGATTAGCAAGATTGGCTACGTATGGTGCGAAATAAGTTCAACGTAATGTACGTGCGTACAATGGAATGGAGTAACAGATTTTTATCCAGCCAATCGTAGCGGTCAGTCACTCACTCGGTCACTCACTCAGTCGCACAAACAGTCACTCAGTCACTCCAATCATTTGGTGATGCTGCATTGGCAGTGGTGCACAAGTAACCAAAAACTAAAACTCAACGCGTTCGTCAATAACAATGCGGGATTAAAAGAAAATATATAACGGACAACGTTTCAGGCCATGGCCTTTCTTCATGGCACATAAACAGAGAGGCCAAAGAGAAAGAGTGGCTAAGCGTTGGACAGTGCAGTTTACACCGTGAGGCCTGATGAGAATTACATTCTTAACGCACACATCTTTTCACATGCTATGAGAAAGGGCCATTGACTGAAATGTCGCCTATTACATATTTTTCCTTTTAAGACCACACACACCAGTGTTATTGATGTGGCGAGTCAACCACTCAGCCAGTCAATCTCACCAGCCACGTCGCATCCAGCCGCACGTCGCACCCGGCCACGCATCACACCCGGCCACGCGTCACACCCGGCCACGCGTCACACCCGGCCACGCGTCACACCCGGCCACGCGTCAAACCCGGCCACGCGTCACACCCGGCCACGCGTCACACCCGGCCACGCGTCACACCCGGCCACGCGTCACACGCGGCCACGCGTCACCACCCGGCCGCACGTCGCACCCGGCCACGCATTACATGCGGCCACGCGTCACACCCGGCCACGCATCACACCCGGCCACGCGTCACACCCGGCCACGCATCGCACCCGGCCAGGTTGCCACACTCGCCAAGGTCACACCTGGCCACGTTGTCACATCCGGCCACGTCACGCCTGACCACGCGTCGCACCCAACCACGTTGCCACACACTGCCACACATCACACCCGGCCACACGTCACTTGGCAGGGCCAGATGGAGTCGGACACCCCACCTCTCTGCTGCATGGGCTGCCGCTGCTGCCACTGCTGCTAAGCTGCAGTGGAGTAATGTGACACGTGCCCGGGTTGCGACGCGTGGCCGGGTGCGACGCGTGGCACTGCTAGCGCCACCGTGCGGCCCTCTGCAGGGGAGCTTTGGCGCCCCATGGCGATGCGGTACAACCAACGACGATAACGTGATCCGGGGTGGGAATGGGGTCGGGGGGGCAGCCCATGTCCCGGAATTCCTTACGGCGGGGGCAGGAAGTGACCTGCGCGAGTCCGTTCCGTGGTTCCACATCCGCGAGCCAACCTCCACAGCGGAATTTAGTTTTATAAATACAGCAAGGAATGCACTCTCTCTCCCCAGCATTCGGAGACCGCAGCAGCCACGCAAAGGCAGAACGCGCAGGCCGTCACTGCCAGGGCAGGCCGCTGCCGGTGATGGAGGGACGCACGGCGCCCTGCGGGGCTGGCCGCGTTCCAAACCATGACATCTGGGGATGTGGGGGAGGGGCAAAGAGGTAAGTGACCGTGTGACTCAGAGATCAGAGCACTGACAACCTGAGTTTGAATTCATAGTTGCGGCTGCCACAGCTTCGACTATACCAGGTTCTCATGTGGTAAGATGGTCCCAGCCCAGTCATGGGAATTCAGACTCACATCGACATCCACAGACTCACAAAGACCAATAGGCTCACATAGATACACCTATACTTGTGTAGTGACATAGAATCGGTCACTTAGCAGCATAGCGCTGGCTGCTGGCAGGGAAGGGGATCTGCAGCTACAGTAGTCCTGAATGACAGCAGGTCACGTGATAGACCAGAGAGGGATGTAGGGGAAAGGTTACGGAAGGGGCACATCAAGAACCTGCTAGTAGGTTCCAGAAGGGGGGCGTGGCCAGGGCATAGCCAGGCCACGCTGACAGTATAAGAGGGGCCCCCGGAGGGGACCTCGGGGCTGTCGTTTGGAGTAGGATCCCATTGTGCTGCTGCTGGAGTCTTCGTCACCGTCATCTCCGTCTTCACCGTCTCAGCGTCGCCAGTCAGGCAGTCTACCAGCTGTCCTGACTGGGAACCGTAATTACCAAGTGTGAACTGTTATGGCCGTTTAATAAACGGAGTGCCTCCCACTCTTAGTGTCTCTGAGTCAGTCACTACACAGACTCAGATTGACTGAGTTGTGATTAAGTGCAGTGAATCGCTATGGAATAAGGTTGGCGGAGTGTAGCTAGGGGTGAGGGGAGAGCGGTGAGGGTCGTGGGGTGAGGAGAGTGGTGAGCGGTGGCGGCGACAACGGTGATCGTTGCCGGTGGTGTTGGCAGTGAGTGGTAGTGGTGGCGAGCGGTGGCAGTGATGTTGGTGGTGATACTGATTCTGAGTGGTGGTCACACCTTGTACTCCAGCGTCTCCTTCAAGAGACGCTCCTCCTGGGAGGAAAGGTGCAGCAGTACGGAGATGGCCCGAACGAGGTGGAACGCCTACACAAGACAAAGATCCCCCATACTCTTATATAAGCGCACAACTTTATCTATCTGTGATTAACGCTGCACTTTCTGTCGTTTTCATGCAGGTGGCGCTGCAAACATACGCGCCCCCTGCATGAACGACGGAGGCGCAGGGCACAAACGTTCGATTACGTTGGAATCGATCTGCAGACGGCGGTCTTCTCGCACGGCCAGCTCTATGTCACCTTATCTCGATCCCGCAATCCCAAACAGGTGAAAGTCTGCATCGAACCGAACCCCCAGCAATGCCATCTACTTAACGACGAGAGAAGATTCACACGAAATGTCCTTCCAGATGTAAAATGACATAAGCTTCAAATGAAGAAATACAATTATCTAATTCAAAACATAATATAATTCAAATGTTTCATTTTAAAACTTCAAAACGGAGCATCGGGTGCTTTCGTGAATGCGTCGTTCGTGTGCAATTTTTTTAGTGACTTTCCTGGCCGAAGGCTGTAAATGGTTGTGAACAACCCCTAGTATAGCCTTAGCAGACTGTTGGGGCTAGAGCTGTTAGCGTGTAGCACCTACGAAGACTGGCACGGCACACGAGGTGGGTGGCCAGCACCACACGCTTTTGTCTCCCAAGTGCTGAGGTTCGGACGTCACAACGTTTAAGGCTGAGTCGACCTTGGAGATGCCCAGGACTGGTTAAAAAATTCGCCACTGTTATTGGTTATGGGTGGTTGTGGGTGGCTGCATGGTCGGTTGCATGGTCAGTTGCATGGTCGGTTGCATGGTCGGTTGCATGGTCAGTTGCATGGTCAGTTGCATGGTCAGTTGCATGGTCAGTTGCATGGCTTCACGATCGGTAGTCGGGTTGCGCGCTGGTTGCCCATACCTCCGCCTCACGAGCCGACACGAACTTGAGTACCACGTGCTTCAGGTACTGCAGGTTGACGCGCGGCGGCTCGCCGGCAGCGCCCGTCGCATACGGCCCAAACCCCGCCCCTCCGCCCCCCAGGCCCCCGCCCACGGCCCCCCCCAGCACTCCGCCCCCCCTCAACCAATCCGGAGGCTCGTGGGGGGCCATCAAGGAGTGGGAGGCCCCAAACGGTCGCTCCCTTCCATCCACCACTCCTGCTGCTGCATTCCCAGAATCGGACCCCTCCACTCTCAGGCGCTGGTGAGGTGGGGGGGGGGGGGTGGGTTGTGAGGGGTAGTGGCAATAGAGGGGAGAGGAGACAGTTGAGGGGCAGAGATGATGTGAGTCTTCATCATCATCAACCATGATCTATCTACTGCTGGGTGAAGGCCTCCCTCCACAAGCCGTAATATAAACTAAATATTTTGATTTAAAGCCTTCGTGACTGCAGTAATTCATATTCTTAGTTCTTTCGACTTTACCGAAAGAACTAAGAATATAAACTAAACATGTTTTAATTTTATGACATAAGACCCACTGAGCTATATAGTTTCTTTTCAGACGTAACCTGGCCACAAATGATAGGTCAACGAAGTAGGTTACATTGTGGAAATGTATAGCAGCCAAATAACTCTCAAACGCATGTTTCTAAATGTGGAGGGAAAAATTGGAGGACACCAAGATAAATCCACACGATCACGAGGAGAGAGACATACAAACTCCAAATATACAGGTGTCAGGGTCAGGATCGAACCCACGACCTCCTGTATACCAGGCAAGGCAGATAACATCTCGCCATCGAGATGGCTACGTACGTTTAGTGTGCAGGCAAGCAAGGCTAATCGTGAAATGCAGTGGTCTATTGGGCTAGCGGGATGATAATATATGGTGGGTCAGTGGGGTTGCAAGCTAGCAGACGAACAAACTAGTGGGATAATGGACTAGCGAGCGGACAGGCTAGTGGACTTTTAGGATAGTGGACTAGCGGGCAGGTGGACTAGCGAACAAACGGGATAGCGGACTAGTGAGCAAACAGTCTAGCGGACTTGCAGGACAGCAGACTAGCAAGCAGAGTCTAGCGGACTAGCGGGATAGTGGTCTAGCAGGCAGGCGAGTGGACGAGCGGACTAGCAGGCAGGCTAGCGGACTAGTGGACTAGCATGCAGGCTAGCGGACTAGCGGGATAGTGGACTAACGGGCAGGTGGACGAGTGAGCACACAGACTAACGGACTAGCGAGTTAGCGGACACGTGGGATAACGGACTAGCAGGCAGGTGGGCACCGTCACTCACCAGCTCCCTCTGCAGAGTCTTCTTGAGCTCTGCCAGGCGCTGCTGCAACTGCTTGATGGTCTGTGCGGCACGGTGACACCCAGCGTCAGCCAACAACATGTTACGGCGTGCCGCGCTACGTATAGCGTATCAAATAGCTTCGTTTAACGTCACTCGACCTTGTGTCTTGGCACGTGACCATGTGTACCGTCACATGACCCCATGTCCAGTCATGCGACTGCGTGTCCTGTCACATGACCTCGTGTAGTGTCACGTGACCTTGTGTCCCGTCACGCGACCTTGTGTCCCGTCACGTGACCAGGTCCCATCACACAACCCCGTGTCTAGTCACTCTTCGGTTCTTTCGGTAAAGTTACGCGACTTTACCGAAAGAACCAAAGAGTATAGTCACGTGACCTTTGTGTGCCATCACGTGACCTCATACCCCCCCCCCCCACCCCACCCCCGCTAACCTTGTGCTTCTCCGCCAGTTCCATCCTCAGCGCCGAGTTGGCCCCCTCCTCCTCAGCGGTGCCGGAAATAGCAGCGACCGTAATTACGGCGGCGGCAGTGGCGCCATCATCACCACCATCGTCGCTCCCGCCCCCCGGCCCCTCCCGGGTCCCGTTGCGGGCCCCATGTGTCCCCAAAGGCCCTGCCTGCGCTGGCTGCGCTGCCTCCCCTTCCTCCACCTCCTCTTCGCTGGCACGCTGCCTCTCTTCCGCCAGCGCCTCGCTGGCGCGCAGCTCTGAGGGCATCCGTGATAGGGTCAGCGGTGGCGGTGAGGTCAGGGTTACCGTACCCCTAACCCTAACCCCTGAGATGGACAGTAGCACTGCTACTGCTGTTACTGCTGCTGCTTCTACTGCTACTTCTAATGCTACTGCTTCTATTGCTTCTGCTTCTACTGCTGCTTCTACTTCTAATGCTGTTGCTTCTACTGCTTCTACTGCGATTTCTGCTTCTACTGCTGCAGATTCTACTGCTACTGCTTCTACTGCCACGACTGCAGCTGCTTCTACTGCTGCTGCTTCTACTGCTGCTGCATCTACTGCTACTGCTGCTTTTACTTCTGCTACAGTGAGGGAAAAAGTATTTGATCCCCTGCTGATTTTGTACGTTTGCCCACTAAAATTATAGACTGATCATTTGTTTGTCAATGGTAGGTTTATTTGAACAGTGAGAGACAGAATAACAACAACAAAAATCCAGAAAAACGCACGTCAAAAATGTTATAAATTGATTTGCATTTTAATGAGGTAAATAAGTATTTGACCCCTCTGCAAAACATGACTTAGTACTTGGTGGCAAAACCTTTGTTGGCAATCACAGAGGTCAGACGTTTCTTGTAGTTGGCCACCAGGTTTGCACACATCTCAGGAAGGATTTTGTCCCACTCCTCTTTGCAGATCTTCTCCAAGTCATTAAGGTTTCGAGGCTGACGTTTGGCAACTCGAACCTTCGACTGGCTAGGCCACTCCAGGACCTTAATGTGCTTCTTCTTGAGCCACTCCTTTGTTGCCTTGGCCGTGTGTTTTGGGTCATTGTCATGCTGGAATACCCATCCACGACCCATTTTCAATGCCCTGGCTGAGGGAAGGAGGTTCTCACCCAAGAATTTGACGGTACATGGCCCTGTCCATCATCCCTTTGATGCGGTGAAGTTGTCCTGTCCCCTTAGCAGAAAAACACCCCAAAGCATAATGTTTCCACCTCCATGTTTGACGGTGGGGATGGTGTTCTTGGGGTCATAGGCAGCATTCCTCCTCCTCCAAACACGGCGAGTTGAGTTGATGCCAAAGAGCTCCATTTTGGTCTCATCTGACCACAACACTTTCACCCAGTTGTCCTCTGAATCATTCAGATGTTCATTGTCAAACTTCAGACGGGCATGTATATGTGCTTTCTTGAGCAGGGGGACCTTGCGGGTGCTGCAGGATTTCAGTCCTTCACGGCGTAGTGTGTTACCAATTGTTTTCTTGGTGACTATGGTCCCAGCTGCCTTGAGATCATTGACAAGATCCTCCCGTGTAGTTCTTGGCTGATTCCTCACCGTTCTCATGATCATTGCAACTCCACGAGGTGAGATCTTGCATGGAGCCCCAGGCCGAGGGAGATTGACAGTTCTTTTGTGTTTCTTCCATTTGCGAATAATCGCACCAACTGTTGTCACCTTCTCACCAAGCTGCTTGGCAATGGTCTTGTAGCCCATTCCAGCCTTGTGTAGGTCTACAATCTTGTCCCTGACATCCTTGGAGAGCTCTTTGGTCTTGGCCATGGTGGAGAGTTTGGAATCTGATTGATTGCTTCTGTGGACAGGTGTCTTTTATACAGGTAACAAGCTGAGATTAGGAGCACTCCCTTTAAGAGTGTGCTCCTAATCTCAGATTGTTACCTGTATAAAAGACACCTGGGAGCCAGAAATCTTTCTGATTGAGAGGGGGGTCAAATATTTATTTCCCTCATTAAAATGCAAATAAATTTGTAACATTTTTGACATGCGTTTTTCTGGATGTTTTGTTGTTATTCTGTCTCTCACTGTTCAAAAAAACCTACCATTAAAATTATAGACTGATCATTTCTTTGTCAGTGGGCAAACGTACAAAATTAGCAGGGGATCAAAAACTTTTTTCCCTCACTGTACTTCTAGAGCTGCTGCTTCTGCTTTTACTGCTGCTGCTAATGCTGCTTCTACTGCTACTGCTGCATCTATTGCTACTTCTACTACTGCTGCTGCTCATACTACTGCTTCTACTGTTGCTGCGTCTCCGTCCGTACCTTGCTCGAGCACGTAGCTCCGAGCCTCTGTGGAGGTGCAGCGCTCCTGAGCCTCCGCCAGCCTCCCCTCCGCCAGCGCCAATGCCTCCTGCAGCTCGCACAGCTGTGTGGACGCAGGGCCCACGGGGAGGTTCGATAAAATTGCTATCAGTTTTTTTTGGTTCTTTCGGTAAAGTCACGTAGAATGAGAATAAAATAATAAATTGATAAAATAAAATAACACAATAATATTCTCACGACGTTTCGGCCACAACACAAGCGGCCTTCATCAGGTGAAGGGGGCGAGACTGTCTGATGAAGGCCGCTCGTCTGATGAAGGCCGCTTGTGTTGTGGCCGAAACGTCGTGAGAATATTATTGTGTTATTTTATTTTATCAATTTATTATTTTATTCTCATTCTACGTGACTTTACCGAAAGAACCAAAGAAGATGAATCATTGCAGTCACGAAAGCTTTAAATCGAAATTTGCTATCAGTTTGTGGGGGAAGATCAACTACCGCTTGTCCCAAGGAAAGACTCACTCCTGTCATAGGAATGTGGAAATCCCACCCCACTGCCTCTGCAGGGCTTTAAACAGGGGATGAGAACAAATGCCTCAATGCTCATTCTAGCAGGAAATCACTTTGACTTGTTAAGGGATCAGGGTTAAGGTTCGGGGGTTATTGTTAGGAGTTAGGGTTAGGTGTTAAAAGCGTTGGGGATTAGGTTTTCGGGTATGAGGGTTAGGTTAAGGGGTCCGGGGTTAAGAACAAGCATTCGAGATTGTGCGTGAAGCTTATAGGATAAAGGGAAGAGGGCTGTGTGTTAGTGTACAGGGTAACCAACCGTGCTAATCGGAGGTGTGGGGGAAGGACAACAAACGAAATGCAAATAGTTTGAAAGAAATAAGTTTTTATATCTGGACAATTTTAAAGTGTAAAGCTCCAGTGGTTTGTCGTTTGTACACCACTGCCAAGGCTGCAGGAGCATCACCATGGAAGCATCGCCACACGTGTTGTTCGTTTTCATCATGCTAGTCAGTGCTGGTTGGTAATGGGAGGAGGAGAGGCTCCAAACTGGTCAACAATTGTACTAATTTGCCAAGTTGTTAGTGTCATGCACGAATCTCTGCACTACCACTCCTACCCACCACCCCCCCTCTCCCAGCTCCCCGCCCCATTAGGGATTCAACAACACGTTCCTCAGTAGCACGTGTGCTACAAAGGACCATTGTCCGAAACGTCACCGATTGTATACTTCACCTTTTGTATACGTCACCTTAGCGGTAAGAGATAATAGGTGGAAGGATTAAAAGGTTATTGTTAGGGCTATGGATGATGGTCAGAAGGGTGTTTGGGTTATGGCAAAAGGGTTAGTTATGGTTAGTGCTAGCAGTTCGGGTTTAGAGATTAGGGCTAGGAGTTTAGGGTTAGGGGTGGAGCATTAGGGGTTAGGGTTCAAATACTTTGTGTTACCCTGTAATAGAGCAGAAACCAAGCCTCACGACAGGCCACGCCTGAGGCCAAGTGTACAAAGACAAAGATCCCCCAATTATCCTTAAGAGGCTGTTGAGGCAAGTGCTGGTAGCGAGCACCTATTAAGGACAACACAAGCACATGTCGAGGTAGGTGGCCTACACCACGCCCAGCCGCCTTCGTCTCCCGGGTGGCAATGTTTAAACATCGTACCAGGTGCTCCTTTGAGGTTTAATCGACCTAGAGGAGGCCCAGGACCGGTTCAGATAATCATTACTGATGTTGGCCGTGAGCAGGAATCGAACTCGGGTCGCCAGGTTCGTAGCGCAGCACGCCAAACATTGTATCACCGTTTGTATGCACACACACGTCTAAGTACTCATGTATACCCAGGCAAACGTAGCTATCACACACCTGTTTCTGTAGTGTATCCCCACATCTCCGTGTCATCTCCAGGTCAGAGATCGACTGGGCGAGTGCTGCCCTCTGAGCTGTGAGCTCGGCCTGAAAGAAAACAATGAGTATCACACTCTGTGACGACGAACTCCAAACACAACCTGACCCGGGTCACTGCCACCACACCTGGCCAACACCTCCAGACCTGGCACCACCACACCAAGCCACCATCACCACCACCACCAGACCCGACCACGACCACCAGGCCCGACTACCACCATCAGACCCAACCACCACTACCACACCAGACCACCACCAGAATCTGCCACCACCACCAGACCTGGCTACCACCACCCCTCCTCGTGTCATCACCTGGGTGCTGTGGAGCTCCTCCTCCAGGGTGCGTGCTGTGGCCTCCTGCTCAGCCACTCGTTCTCTCAGCTCCTCGCCCTCTGCCTGCAGCTGCCCCTGTGCAGTACCATGGGGCGGTGGAAGGAAAGGGGGAGTTGGGGGGGGTGCAAGGGAAGGGTTGTGATGATTTGGTAAAGAGCGACAATGAGAGATTCAGTTTCAAGTGATTTATCCACTCAATTGCTTTGTCTGTGAGTACCCCCCCCAGCCCCCACCAGCCTCAATCCCCCCACCCTCATTGTACCAGGCTGTGCTGGCTAGCCGTGCGGTCGAAGTCGCGCGCCGTCTCCAGCGCTGAGAGCTGTGCGTCCAGCGCCGCCACACGCTCCCCCAGCTGCTGGCGAGACGCCGCCCACTGCTGCTGCAGGCGCCGCCGCTCGGCCTCCCCCTCCGCACGCTGTGGGGGGGGAGGGGAGGGGGGGAGGGGGGAGGGGGTGTTAGGAAGATGGTGGGAGATCGGAGGACAGGTGAGGAGGTAGAAGGAAGGGGGGGTTAGGGAGGGATGGGGTCGTGAGACGGGAGTTACGGGGCGAAGAGGAGGTGGTCCGGAGGTGTTAGGAGGTAGGAGGAGCTGTCTAATGGAGTGTTCCTGTAGTTGGTAGCGATGAGGTGGGGAGTGATGAGGTGGAGATTCACGAGGTGGGGAGTGACGAGGTGGGCACTGCTGCAGTGAAGTGTGATGAGGTGGGCAGTGACGATATAGGCAGTGACAAGGTGGGTGCTGCTGCAATATGGGAGCGATGACGTGGGTTCGGTTGCAATAGTGAATGACGAGGTGGGTGCGGCTGCAGTGCGGAGTGCACCACTTGGTCTCGCTCGCTCTCCCGCGTCGTCGCCACCCTCTGTGCACGCTTCAGCTCCTCCTTGGTGGCGGTGAGATCCTCGTGCAGGCGGCGCAGCTGCACAGACACAGATAAAGAGACGCCCTGAAGCCCACACATGCTGTTGGGGCAAGTGCTGTTCGCGAGCAGCACCTATTAAGGCCAGTGTGGTGCACAAGGGGGTGGTGTGGGTGGCACCCACGCCCGGCCGCCTTTGTTTCGGGCGCCACGATAGCAAAATGTTATGGCTCTTGCCTGGTATACAGGAAGTCGTGGGTTCGATCCGAACCCTGATGCCTGTTGTATATTTGGAGTTTACGTTTCTCTCTCCATCCCTGTGGTCACATGCATTTTTCTCCGGGTTCTCCAGTTTTCCCATTCACATTTAAAATCAACGTGCGCTTAGAGTATTTGGCTGCTATAAATTCCACATCATAAGCCATTTCCTTGAGCCATCATTTGTGCCCAGGTCACTTCTGATAAAGAGCTATATAGATCCCCCGAGTAGCCTTTAATTTCTGTTGGGGACAAGCGCTATTCGCGAGTAGCACTTATGAAGGCCAGGACGGTGCTAGCCACCCACCCTACCCGTCCGCCTTTGTCTCCCCAGTAACGATGCTTACACACGACGCTGGGTACTCATTTGAGGCTCAGTCGACTTAGTGAAGGTCGAGGACCGATTCAGACGATTATTGGCCGTGAGCGGGAATTGAACTCGTGTCGCCGGGTTCGTAGTGCAACGCGGTAACCTCTGCGCCGCCGCTCACCTCCTCATCGCGAGCACGCGTCTTCCCCGCGCGTTCCTCCTCCTTCGCCTGCGCCGCCGCCTCCAGCTCCCGCGCACGGTCTCGCAACTCCCTCACCTATACCGCAACCCAACCGCAACGCCAGTGTAACCGCAACCGCAGTACAACCCCGGCCTAGCGGCAGCGCGGCGACATAGCCCAGTGGTGGCACGTTTTCCGCTCATTGTGGAGGTTCGAATCTGGCGGAAATCTCTGGTTAATGCTGTGGTGATGGTATTAACCATGACAACGCATGCCATCATACGCAAATGTAGGTCATTGTGTGCCTGCGTTAAGGTCCCAAATTTGACAAACTTTCAAATGACCCACAAGATAAAATCGGGATCACACGCACACACACGGCAACATCGCCCGCTGCTACTAGCAGCAGACTCATGCCCCAGGCGCACAGGGCAGGTGCTGAGTCACCTTGCGCCGCACAGGAACAGCTGCCACTGGGGGTGTCCGAGGCTAGACCACATAGGAATCATTGTTCCCTACTGGCAGGACTAATGCCCTCTTGCAGGCCAGGTTCTGAATCACCATGGGACGCACAGGGACAGCTGCCGCTGGGGCTCCCCTAGACTAGACCACACATACACAGCAACATCGCCCCCTACTCCTGGCAGGAGACTCATGCCCCTGGCTCGCAGGCCCCTGGCTCGCAGGCCCCTGGCTCGCAGGCCCCTGGCTCACAGGCCAGGTGCCGAGTCACCACCGTACAGGGACAGCCACCACCCTTCCAAAATGTGTTCGGGCGTTGGATGTGAAGAGCTCTGAGGTGCCCCAGCGAAATAGAAAATGTAACATGCCTGATAACGCTGGTTGCGTAAATTGGTACGTTGACAACCTTACTAATTGGCCGTGTCGGGTGGAGGTGTGTGTACGACATAACACACTAACTCACCCACCTACTCACACAACAAATAAATCACCCACCCACACACTCCCACCCCACCTGCTCTGATAAATTATACTTTTAGCCTGACTCTCAAGTTCTCATTGGGTTAAACATAATACATTTTGACTTAAAACTTTCGTCACTGCAGGAATTCATATTCTTTGGTTCTTTCGGTAAAGCCACGTAGATAGAAATATAATAATAAAAAGTTCATTATTCGCTTTATATGCATTATTATTTTTCTATCTACATGACTTTACCGAAAGAACCAAAGAATATAAGCATAATACACTTGAGACTTGAACACATCATCAATCCATTCGCCAATGATGATCAGCCCCCTCACCCGCCCTCCCCTCTCTCTCTCTCCCCGGCCACCCTCCCCCACACACCTGCTGCTCCAAGCCGGATGTGGTTGCCGTGGCGACGGCCTGCGACTCAGAGAGGCGAGTGGAGAGCTCCTCCAGGCGCTCCTCCAGCCGTGCCCGCTGGAATTAACGAATCATCAGCATTGTCATCATCAGCAGCATCATAACTGTTATCGTCATCAACATCATCAGCAGCACTGTTATCATTACTACTGTCAGCAAAGTCGTCATCAACAATCATCGTTGTGAATATCATCACCATCATCGTGTTCGTCGTCATCAACATCATAATCGTTGTCATCGGCGTCATCAGTATCGTCAACGTCGTTATCATCATCATAAACAACATCATCATACTCATCATCTTCATCAACCTGTAACACTTCTAAATTCAGATTGAAAGTGTTTTTGGATTGGCCCTGTCTGTAAAACCTAGAGATGATCCAATATGGGCCCCCTGTGGAGGTATCAAGTCCCCTGGTAGAGCTGGTGTAGTCCTCTGGTAGAGCTGGTGTAGTCCCCTGGAGGAGCCGGTTGTGGTTCATAAGTAGAAGTGGTGTGGTTCCCTGGTGGAGCCGGTGTGGTCTCCTAGTGGAGGCGGTGTGGTCCCCTGGTGGAGGAGTCAGGCAGCCACCTCGAGGAGGAGCTCCTGTGTGTGTTGGTCCATTGTCAGGTCTCCCGCAATCCTCCTCTCCAGCGACGTCGCCTTCTCCGTGAGCCGACCAATCATGGCGCAGCGCTGCTCAGTCTCCCTGGCAGCCTGTGAAGTGGCGAGTCAAATCAATTAATCAATCACTCAATCATCAATTAATTTTCAATTTGTTCCTCTCGTCTCGTATGAAGCTGTCTCGTTTGTTTCACTCATCGCTCTTTACCAGGCTGAAAGCATTATTGTGGTAGCCTCGACACAGAGGCGTTTTTTCTCTGTGTGCCTATGTGTGTGCCTCTCTCTGTGTCTCTGTGTTATCTCTCTCTGCTTATGTGTCTGTCTGTGTCTCCGTGTTTGTATTTTGTCTCTCTCAAATTTATCAATCTTTGGAAGAACGTAATCAACCAGGTAGTGTGTTGACTGTCATGTTAGCAAACTCTCCGTGTTGTAAGTTTACTAGGTTTGTTTTCTCTTTCATTTGTACCTGATGATGATTGCTTGTGTTGCAATCGAAACGTCGTATGCTTTTATTTATTTTTCTTTCTACGTGACTTTACCGAAAGAACCAAAGCGTAATTATGATTCTGATTGACTCTGAACTCAGACCCAGACCCCCATGCATCCCCACCTGCTGCGCCTGCTGCCCCAGGGACTCGGTCTCCACTCTCAGGGCCTTGTGCTCCTCCTGTAGCTCCTGCAGCGCAAAGCGGGCCTGCACACACAACCACACAATCACTCTACTCAGCACAATCGCACAACATAACCAAACAACCACTCATAACCACACAAACACTTAACATAGCCAGACAAACAATGAACTGCTGAACTAGGCCAACGAAAACACACAAACAACCACACAAATAAACAATCACTCGTAATCACAAAACCACTACCAACACTACACTACCACCAACACCACCCTCCCCATGACACCATCACCACGACGTTTAGCACCACCTGCACCACCACCACTAGCACCAACACTACCATGACCACTATCAATGCACCATCATCACCAGAAACAAAAACCATCTCCGTAACAACCCCCTCCACCACCACGGCAACCATCTCCATGACCACGAATCATCTCCATGACAACCACCACCAACACCACGATAACCATTACCACCTCCACGGCAACCATCACCACCACCACGACAACCATCTCCACTACAAAAACCATCTCCGCCACCAAAGGCAAAGATCCCCCGTATAGTCTGAACAGACTGTTGGGGAAAGTGCTGTTAGCGAGCACCTATGAAGGCTGGCACAACACACAGTAGGGTGGGTGGCCAATACCACGCCCAACCGCCTCTGTCTCCCCAGCGGTGATGTTTACACACCACACCAGGTACACATTTGAGGCCGAGTCTACCTAGGGGAGGCCCATGACTGGTTCAGATAATCGTCACTGGTGTTGGCCGTGAGCGGGAATCGAACTTGGGTTGCTGGGTTTGTAGCGCAGCGTGCTAACTGCTACACTACCACTTCCCATGCAAATACAGGCACAACACAAGCACTAACACCTCCACCACCACGACTAACACCTCCACCACCACGACTATCACCCCCACCACCATACTGGTGTGTGTGTGGCGTGTGTGTGGTGTGTGTGGTGTTTGTATGTGTGGTGTGTGTGTGTGTGGCATGTGTGTGGCGTGTGTGTGTGGCATGTGTGACGCGTGTGACGTATGTGTGTGACATGTCTGCGTTTGGCATGTGTGTCACGTGTGTGGCGTGTGTGTGACATGTGTGCGTGTGTGTGACGTGTGTGGCGTGTGTGTGTGATGTGCGTGTGTGTGGCGTGTTTGTGGCGTGTGTGTGTGGCATGTGTGATGTGTGACGCGCGTGATGTATGTGTGTGACATGTCTGCGTTTGGCATGTGTGTGACATGTGTGGCGTGTGTGTGACATGTGTGCGTGTGTGTGACGTGTGTAGCGTGTGTGTGATGTGCGTGCGTGTGGCGTGTGTGATGTGTGACGCGTGTGACGTATGTGTGTGACATGTCTGCGTTTGGCATGTGTGTGACGTGTGTGGCGTGTGTGTGACATGTGTGCGTGTGTGTGACGTGTGTGGCGTGTGTGTGTGATGTGCGTGCGTGTGGCGTGTGTGCGGTGCCACCTGCGCCAGCTCGTGGGAGAGCCGCTGGTTTTGTAGTGAGAGCTCGCTCTCCTGCTGCTCCCCTCGCTGGCGCTCCTCCTCCAGCTCCCGCCGCAAGTATGAGCTACACACAAACATACACACACCACACACACACCACACGCCGCACACACACCACATGCCGCACACACACCACACGCCACACACACACACACCACACGCCACACACACCACACGCCACACACACACCACACGCCACACACACACACCACACGCCACACACACACCACACGCCGCACACACACCAAACCACACACACGCCACACACATCAAACGCCACACACGCCACACACGCCACATACACACGCATCACACATCCACGCAACACACAACACATATGCCAGACACAAATCACACATCACATGATCACACAAACATCACAAGTCACATCACACAAATCCAGAGCCATGTTACCGGCATGGTGAGATGGCGGATGCGGGCAGAGAGAGGGGGAATGACATGGGGTGGTGGGCGTTGGATGGGGGGGTTGGAGGGCAGGGGGACCTCCACTTTGGCAGGGGGGGAGTGGGTGGGGGAGTGGGTGGGGGACCCCCACTTGTCGCTCTTGAGTGCGGCGCCGTTGGCCCGGAGCGCTGACAGCTCCTCTTGCGCCCGCTCGAGCTGAGCCTCTAGCGCGGCGACCTCCTGCCTGGTGCACGCCACCTCCTCGCTCAGGCAGCGGCTCTCCTCCTCCTTGCGCAGCAGCTGACAAGACACACAAACACACATTCACGTTCACACATACACAAATATCTCCCGTATAACTGTTACAGGCTGTTGGGGCAAGTGCTGTTGGCAAGTAGCAGCACCTCTGAAGCCCGACACGGGCACATGAGGGGGTGGGTGATCAGCACCACGCCTGGCCGCCTCTGTCTCCCGAGTGGTAATGTTTACTACACATTGCACTAGGTACTCATTTTAGCCTGAGTCAACCTAGGGGAGGAGGCCCAGGACCAGTTCAGATAATCATCACTTGTGTTGGCCATGAGTGGAATCGAACTCGGGATGCTGGATTCGTAGCGCAACACATCCACCACTGCACTACCGCTCCCCATTAACAAAATACACAGACATTCAGCCAGATATCTACATACCAATAATTGTTTAATCACTTTAGCGATTTTTCACTGTACACTAAAGTTCTGTTTATATAATTAACAATGATTAGCGAGACCCCCCCCATCCCGTGACAGACAGATATACAAAGAAACGGATGGACAGGGCATACATACAGACAGATGAACAGACGGACAGATGTAGAGACAGATCCACGGACAGATGGACCGATGCACAGACGGCCGAACAGTGAATTGCATGAGCTCGTCCCAGTCTATGTTAAACTAAACTTTATATTTTTCCAGGTAAGGCCCACTGAGCTATATAGCTTTTTCAGAAACAAACTGGCCACAAATGAAGTGGCTTTTCATCACGTGGAAAATTATAGCAGCCAAATACTTAAATGCACGTCGATTCTGAAGGTGGAGGGAAAAACTGGACCCGGAGAAAAATCCACGCTGCCATGCGGAGAGAGACACCGCAAACTGCAAATATACAGATGGACGGACAGACTGACGGAGCTATCGGAGGGCAGGGCCGGGGGTCGGGAGGTTGGTGTCGCACCATGTGCTTGACCTTGGCGGTCTCCTGCTGCTGCAGCTCCGTGAGCTCATCGCGCTCGTCACGCCGCTGGAAGAAGTCAGCGCTGCGCTCCTCAAACTCGGCCAGGCGCAGCGCCAGCTCCCTCCTCTCCTGACACGCCGCGCCACAACAACAACAGCAGCAGCCGCCGTTTGCCACAAAGTGGCGGTGACGTCACCGCAGGCGCTAGTGCCAGGCTAGGTGCACTTCCAAGGGCACATGGCGTGTCAAAGGCTCTCGCTGCTGGCAGGTCATGGAACGGACCCAGGTGCCATGGGTTTACTGAGATGGCTGGCAAATGCACCAATTGTGCCCCCCAACTGTGCCACCTCGCTGAAATTCAGCTGCCCAGTGCTCCGCTCGTTGTTGTGAGCATCGCTCCTCTGCCCTCCGTTGATGTTGGCAACTGCCCTCCAACTGCCCAGTAGCGTCCTTCACGAGCCTCCTCAATAAAGGCCGATCTTGACACCGGCAAGTCCACTCAGCTCCATATCTTACCACCACACCACCATGCCACAATACACCACACAACCCACAACCACACCATCAGAACGGGCCATGCCTCACCACAAAGTGCCACACACCGTACACACCATCAGAAACCCAGCATAATCAATATGATACACATCAATGTGCCAACACCTCCATCCAGCAGTGGAGTTACCATGGCTGATGATGTTCGATCATTCCAAATGCACCGCACACACACACTACACCACACACGTGAATATCGCGTGGTGGTGGTTGGACCCGTGATGCTCACTCTGAAGGTTTGTGAGCGAGCGAGCTGGAATGATGTAATGGTGGCACTCACCTTTTCCATCGCCGCAAGCTTCTCCGTCCACTCCTGGGGGACAACACATCATCATCAGAATCTTTATTCATCCTGGAAAATCCCATGAACTATGAAGCTCTTTTTCACAGCTGTCCGATAGTTCACTGATTGCAGTCCCTTAGATCACTATCAACACCATTCAACACAACACAAACGTCATTCTCATTAGTCTCATCATCAACATTACGTCCACAACACCATCGCTGTTGTCATCACCACACATCAGCATCAGTGTCATCATCACCACTACCATCACCACTATCATCACCATGATCAACAACACTATCACCATCATCACCACCCACATCTGCCATTCACCACTAAATTATTTTAGCAGTTAAGATTCACTGAGCTAAATAACTCTTTTCAGAAGCCACCTGATACAAATGAAAGCTCAACGAAATGGCATATCATGTGCAAATTTATAGCAGTCAAATACGCACATTTCACTGTTACCACCACCATCACCATGACACCATCCCCGTCGTTGCCATCACCATCATCCCCATCACCGCCATCATCACCTCCACTATCACGATCACCACCACTGCTGCCACCACTATCACCACCATCACCACCATCACCTTGTTGTTCTTCTCGAGAGCAAGAGTAGCGTTCTCCGCCATCTTGGAGCGCTTGGCCTGGTATGACTCATTCAGCTCCTGCATCTTCCTCATGGAGGCTGCCCAGAATCACGGGGTCAAGGGGTGGGGGCGAGAGGTCACAACGACAACAATGTTGATGAGGCCGATGGCGATAACGACGGCGGTGACAATCAAGATGATCAGGATGCAGACGAGGATGATGATGGATCATGGGTATGAACTGCTTGTTGTTGTGTTTAGTTTGTTGTCCTTCCCCCGCACCTCCGATTAACACGGTTGGCTACGTACGGTGCCAAAGAAATCCAAAATACATACGAAGATGGATCATGACGATGATGATTAGACGGGTGGTGACAACAAAGTGACACGTACAGTCTTGCTGGCGCTCCAGCGCTGCCTCGAGCTTCTCCTTGAGCCGTGCTGTGTTCCTCAGCTGCTCCGCACACTCTGCACATCACCCACATCGCCACCATCACCTACGTTATCACCCACATCGACGTCATCGACATCGCCACTACACCAACATTATCATCACGCCCACATTATCATCATCCGATTAGCACGGTTGGCTACGTACCGTGCAAAAGAAGTTCAACATATATAAACATCAACATCACCACCGTCGACATCACCCACGTCACCATTGCCACCTACATCATCATCTACATCACCATACAGACCATCAATAACCCAGATTGGAAGCCAGGACCTCAGCGGTGCCAGCTGAGCGTCTCTGACCTGTGAGCCGTCCAGCCTAACTGTGACGCCATGACCCCCTGACCGTGTGTCTCACCTCCGAGTTTGGCCTCGAGCTTGCGGATTTGGTCAGTGCGGCGCGACAGGAGCACCAGCAGCTCCTCCCTGGAGGCGCTGCCATCCAGAGACTAAGCATGGCACACCACACGCAGTACCCACAGTCACACACACAGCACACAAAAAACCCCAATTTAGACTGTTGAGGCAAGAAATATTAGAGAGCACCCATGTAGGCCAGAACAACCCACTAGGGGGTAGTGTGGCTAACACCATGCCTGGCCGCCTTTGTCTCTCCGGTGGAAATGTTTACACACCGCACCAGGTACTAATATAAGAGTCAGTCAATGTTGGTGAGCATGTGCAGGAATCGAGTTTAGGTCGCTGGGTTCGGAGCACGGTGAACTAACCGCTGCGCCACCACTCGCCACACAGCGCAGAGTAAAGACAACAAAGACAAAAATCCCCTGTATAGCCAGTGCCAGATTAAGCTAGTGCGGGGCCTGTAGCATATGTTACAAAGGGAAACTAAAAATGTTTAATACATAAATATTAAAACACTCATTTTTAACTTGCATAGTAAAGTAATTGTATTTTTTCATTTGTTATACAGCCAAATACGACAAATCGTTAACCTTAAATACCCAGTCGTTCATAAAAGTTGAAGGCAGTATAGTACTGTAGTAATAGAGCAAGTGCAGAATCACTGAAACGGAATTTATAGCTTGAAAGCATTTAGCACGGGGCCCTTGAAAGTGTGGGGCCCGTAGCATATGCTACTTTGGCTACTAGGATAATCCGGCACTGCGTATAGCCTTAACAGACTGTTGGGGCAAGTGTTGTTTGTGAGTAGCAGCTATGAATGCCGGCACGGCGCACGAGGGGGTGGGTGGCCAGCACCACACCTGACTGCCTTTGCCTCCCAAGTGGCGATGTGCTCACATCGCACCAGGTACTCATTTGAGGCCGGTACTGGCCGTGAGCAGGAATCGAACTCAGGTCGCCGGGTTCATAGCGTAACGCGCTAATCGCTGCACTACCGCTCCCCACACAGCGCAGAACCACCACACACACACACGGACACAGTGAGTGCAGTGCGAGTGTAAAGTTGGGGCAAGCGCGGTGACAGTCGCTCTCTCACCGCGTCGTCCCCGGAGTCGGCGCCGGTGGAGGCGAGGGACTCGCGGCTGAGTGTGCGTGGGAGTCGCCCGGCAAGGCCCGGTCCAGGGAGGCCCCGCACAACCCCTCCTCCCTCCTCCTCCGAAATCTTCTTCTTCAGCTTTGCAAACATCGCCGAGCCCCCCGCCCTGCTCCCCCTCTCACAGCTCCACCCCTCTCACAGCTCCACCCCTCTCACAGCTCCACCCCTGCTCTACCCCTCTCACTGCCTTCCCCCCTCTCACTGCTCCCCCCTCTCACTGCTCCCCCCCCAAATCCTTGTACACGACCATCATATCATCGCGCCGCCCCCACCGGCGCCATCATCATCACCATCTTCGTCATCATCGGGCAGCGCTGGTCGGCTCAGGGTCGCAGTGCTGAGAGGGTTGTTCTGGGGTCGTCACAGACATAGGTGGGGGTCAGCTGTCAAATGATAAGAGTGAGATCATCATCATGATCAACATTCAACTTTCATGCCGTTTCTCCCATGAAGTACATCTTAAAGCCTTCCTTTCTTATAGCACTGCACAGCGCGCAGGCCTATAACGAAGGAAGGCGCCGCTGTTTCACCGACGGATATAGACTGCCAGCAGGAGGTGATGCTGCCGTGTGTAATTCCAATTGAGTACTTTTTGCGGTGTCATTTTTTGTTTCACATTTGGAAATGTTTGTCTCGTGCCGCAGGCCGGCATACAATGAATCATCTACCTCGATTCGAAAGAAGTCAGGGCAAGCAGATGGTGAGCATTTTATATCACTAATACCCACCATGGTAATATCCAGGTTGGCCTTCCCGAATTTGAACCGCGACCCTCTGCACCGATGATCTCCTCTCGCTACTTATATGCAGTGTGCTTGGGTGCCACGGTGGCTAGATGTTAACTACCTCGCCTGGTATGCAGGAGGTCATGGGTCCAATCGAAAACCTGTCGCCTGCTGTATATTGAAATGTGCGTGTTTCTCTCCCCGTGGTAGCATGGATTTTTCTCTGGGCCCTCTGTTTTTTTTCTCCACATGTAGAATCGATGTGCATTCAGTGTTTGGCTGCTATAAACTTCCACGTGATAAGCCCCTTATTTGAGCTATGATTTGTGGCCAGGTCTCTTCTGAAAAGACCTATATAGCTTAGTGATCTTACCTGGTAAAATAAAAAGAGTTTAGTTTAGATGCAGCTCTGCCTTTCTCCACCAGTGTAATATATGTGTTGCTTATTTTTGACCTACGCCTAAAACAGCTTCCACTTCATAATCTACAGCCCTTTGTCAATCTACTAGATGAATGTGCACATCACAGATAACCGGAATGAGATGCCTTCACGACAGCGACCCGAGATTGATTCCCGGCGGAGGCTAACACCAGCTGCGAGCGATATCAGAACCGGTCCGACACCCCCTACACCAACCCGCATTAACCAGCGTGAAGCATAGTCAAACAAGACCCGTCTCTGGCGCCGGCGTCGAGAGTCCTTCATTCAGCAGTGGATTAGCAAATGGCTAAATATACCTACAGAGAGTAATGACGTGATCTGCTTCTGCCAAGCATTCTGCTCGAGTTCTCACCCCCTGTGGATACGAGTGACAGCTTAAACGTGTACAGGGTTGGGTTATTGACCTTTGTCTCATGTTTATTGCATTGAATTCTAGATTTACTCAGCTATTTCAATGCTAAATGCTATGCTAATTCCTTTGTCAAGGCGCTTTGTTTCCTCTCACACAGCTTAAAGGTCGTGATCTGAACGTGGCTTTTTTCACTCCAGCGCTGTCCTCCAGTCTCGTCCCTTCACCTGATGAAGGCCGCTTGTGTTGTGGCCGAAACGTCGTGATTTTTGTTATTTTATTTTTTACCTACGTGACTTTACCCAATAGAACCAAAGAGTATTTATTGCATTGCTTTGTGTTCCAGTTATCAGTTCGTTTTGGTGAGAACCCAGGCTCGGATAGGAGTGTCATTTGAGACCTGGGTCACCATAATGGCAACAGTTAAATCCGTAAAATAAACTACAGCAATGAAGGACTGTACATAGAAATCAGGGCAGTGATGTATGTAGGTCACCCTTAATAATAGAGATAGTTCATAGTTCTATTTATTTGGTATAGCCCTGTGAGCCATTCGGCTCTTGAATCGGGTGCAACCGCAACAAACAAAAAACAAAAACATGAACAAGAAAACATCTTAAAGTGACTTTGTGTGACTGTGCAAACAGAAAATCCAGGAAAAAACATCTAAATATTCCTGAAACAGCACCGTACACCAACGCTGTGTGCAAAAATCCCAGTGGGATGCAAGTCAAACGACAACAACAACAACCACAAGACAACTAAGATTAAGGCCATTAGTCTAACTCCGTACTACAAAAAACAAAAACATGGCCAAACCAAAAAACTTTTCGAAATCACCAAAATAAAGCCATAAATGCAATGTAACAGTGATCACAGGGACTGACCGAAATTTTAACAATAAACTACATAAATAACATGTAACACCAAACCCTAGAGCCATAGCTGGCTGCATGAGTTACTCCACAACAGAAGCATCAGTCGGAGTATCACATTTTTCAATGCACCTTTAAGATCAGCACACTAAATCAAAATACAGATAATACTTTGCAGCGGTCATCCGGAGCTAAACATTTTATTTTAGGCCACTGAATAGCAGTGGCAGCTAGGGGTGTACAACTCCTCTAGAGCAGTTTTGAGTGAAGATCTCATAGGTAGCGATTCAAGTTGCAGTTTATCGTCAATAGCATTCCAGACCCTGGGGGCATCAATAGCAAAGGCCCTTCCTCCGGTTTTTGTGTCAAAGGACTAGCAGAGACCTACCTTACCTCTCTCTTCCCTCTCATCTCACTCGACTCCCCTTCCACGCACTCTCCTGCCTCTCTTCTCTCTCATCTCACTCTACTACCTTCCACGTACTCTCCGACCTATCTCCCCTCATTTCACGATACTCTCCACCACACATTCTCGCGCCTCTCGTCTCCCCAGTCGGACAAAGCGACCGTGAAACTCTCTTCCAACTTGAGACGTCTACGATGCTGCTGCTGCTGTTAAAGCGGAAATGTGAAATGGGGCAGGACACGTCATGAAAACAACTGACGACAGAGAGAGAGATGAAACGCAGAATGAGGTCTGGGATGGAGTCAGAATGGAGAGAGGAAGAGAAGCGGAGACTGCAAGCCACGACTGGACAGCAGTAGCTTTGCCCAGCAGTCGGCAATTACAGGCCGAGCACAGCCGCCGTGTAACTTCAACAGCTCTGTGTGCTGTATAGAAAGGTCACTGCCCGAATCGTCGCCTACTGTACACAATGCACGTTTCCTTGCAAGGCCACGCACCGTGAGTGACGCGGTAACGTGTCGGGGTTTTCAAGGCCTGAATGTTGAGCGAACCGTGACCCTTCGCGCCTGGATCCCCGACTGCTATGAAAGTTAACGAAGGTTACATTTAAACATGACTGTCCCAGTATGAAAGTTAACGAAGGTTACATTTAAACATGACTGTCTGTCCCAGTGGTGGTGGTGGTGGTGGCAATAATTGCCGATAACTACAATACTCTTTGGGGTCTTTCGGTAAAGTCACGTAGATAGAACAATAAAAGAATAAAAATAAAGTTAATAAAACAAGCTTTAAGTCAAGATAACTACAATAAGCAATGTCATTAAGTAAAGGCATGGTGTACTTCCTGGAACAGTGGCGACACTGCAGCTACCACGACACTCATCGTAATAACATCAACCTTTAATCATAACAATGCCGAAACTAACGGTGTCAAGCACTGTACCTCACATTAAGATAATTGCAGTACTGTGCTGTTATTGGTGCACGCTAATTATCATTACGATTAATTAACTCTTAATTACCCTCCCTCCAATGTTTACGAAACTCTGCTTGCTCGCTCTCTCGCCAGTCCGCCCGACTACAACAATTTCACAATTTCAAGACGGCGACGCCACCGTTGCCGGCAAGTGTGACCGAGTTAAGTGACGTTAATTAGCGCTAATTAAGCCTCCTCAAGTAAATTACCTCCAACAAAACAAATGACGCCTCGACGTTCTCAAAAAAACTCTGCCCCTCTTCTCGCCGACGTCCCTCCCCCACACGGACTGCGAACCTTCCAATGTTGGCGCTGGCGATGCTCCTCCAGTGGCGGTATCCGTGGCGGTAACGAGGCAACCCGAACTCCCTAACGAGGGGGCAATTAGCGCGAGCGAGCAGGCGGCATCCCCATGGTTACAGCGGCCAGGCCTTTCCTGCCGATGTGGCCGTCTCCTCCACTCACGCGCGCTCCCATTGGCCGGTGCATCCAGCAACGTGACCCACGATTGGCCCTCTCGGCACTTTTTATTTATTTATTTCCCCAGTTATCGCGTGAGGAGCGCGCCCGAGACAGCGTCCGCTCGCCCCATTGGTCCGCCATGCGGCTGAGCACGTGACCTGCAAACCCTCTGACGAATCACTTCGCCCGCGTTTATCCGCGCCGGGGATTGTGGAGCGCGGCCCGGCCCCAAGAGGCGCTCGCTAGGTGAGGTCTGATAGTTCATAGTTAGTTCATTTCATAGATGGGGGAGGGGGGGCAGCTTTCACGTTCGAACCCGCGTCTCGCCGGCTCCGCGTGAGAGTTACGAGGGAGGGGGGCGGGCTTGCGACACAAAACGCCGGGGATTTAACCCCCCCCGTGACTGCGGGGCGCAGGAAGTGGCTGCACATTCCACCACGGTGCGGTTCCGTTGCAGTTCCTCTGCCTCCAAAGTAGTGCGTAGAATTTTTATTCTAGATTTAAAGCTTTCGTGACTGCTAGGATCCATACTCTTTGGTTCTATTGGGTAAAGTCACGTAGGTGAAAATAAAATAACAAAAAACCACGACGTTTCGGCCACAACACAAGCGGCCTTCATCAGGTGAAGGGACGAGACAATCGTGGTTCTCGTCCATTCACCTGATGAAGGCCGCTTGTGTTGTGGCCGAAACGTCGTGATTTTTTGTTATTTTATTTTCACCTACGTGACTTTACCCAATAGAACCAAAGAGTATAGTGCGTAGAACCCTAAGACTCCTACCGAACCCATTCAAAGGGGTTCCGAGTCGTCCTTTCCCCCTGCTCTGGGGGTCCCCATTGGGTCCCCTATCCAGGGTCCCCCTTTATCTGGCGTCGCCCTAGGCTCGAATCAAATTTTCCTGGGGTCCCCTGAATTCCAAATATCGAGGTCCGCCCCGTAGTTCCCCGAAGAGTCCCCGCTTGGCTATCGTGATTCTCGCCACAAAGGGTCTCATTTCTCTCCCGCTCTCGGTCAGGGTCCCCATTTGCTTTCTGTCATCGCTCATCTCTTCCCATCCATTCCCATTCATCAGGAACTTCAACTTTCCTCGTCATCGCTTGAAGTCACGTGAGCTCTTTTGGACCCGTGCGCTTAACCTTAATACAAATTAAACCCCCCATGAAGCTTGGAGACCTGAATGGAGTTCAAAGGAACCTGCAAACAAACACCGCCTTGTGAAATACCCAACACAAGATCCCCCTGGTTTTGACCTTCCACGAAGCTCATGGTCCATCCTAAATCGCATCCGCTGCATAAACCATGGCAGCTACGGATACCTGATGCAACGTATAATGACGCAATGCCCGATCCACACACACATCACAGCGATACACTCCGCTGCTCATGACACGGTTATTTGGCATGACCGCCTGAATACAATTGTTGTTGCTCTGCATCGATATCAGTCATACGAAAGAAGAAGAAGACCCCTCTATCTCCTGTCTCTCATCACCCCCCCCCCCCCACAATGTTTCTGTCTCTCCCCCCAGAGGTTTTCATGGAGGAGCAATCGACACCAGGCGAGTGGCGGTGCCCGGGAGGCGTGTTCACGAAGCGCGAGGTCACTCCGGGGCGCGGGCATCGGAGGCCGCGCGACGGTGCGCGCTGCCTCGTCAGATTTAGCCTCGCACGGGGGGCGGCCGCGGGCTCCATCAACCCCAACGATCGAGGTTCCAGAACCTGCTCCACCAGCCCTAATCCCGGCTCCACAAACTCCGATAGCAGTGCTGGCTCCGCCAACCCTAGCGTCACAGACCTCGCCGATTTCGGTAGCAGCTCCACAGACCCAGACCCGAGTTGCAGTCCTGGCTCCACCAGCTCCAACCTCAACTCTAGCTCGACCGATAAAGTGACCGGTTCCGTCTCCATCAAGCCCAACCCTCAACCCAGCTCCTCCGACGCTGACCCAAGCTCCAGCCTCGACTCCACGGACCCTGCCCCTGGCCCCAGGAGCCCGTGCCCGTTGTTTCCGTTCGCGCTGGACGTGTGGCTCGAGGTGATCATAGGCGAGGGTGACACGGACGTGGGCGACGCGTTAGACTGGTGCCTGGAGACGATGCGGCGCGGCGAAGTCTGCGAGCTCCGGCTCCACCTTTCGCCGCCACGGCCGCCACCGCTCAGGGTGGAGCTGCGCGGGTTCACGCACGAGCCCGAGTGGTGGCAGATGGACGCGGAGGCGCGCTGGAGCCGCGCGCTCCACCACAAGGAGCGTGGCGCCGCCCGCTTCTCGGAGGGCCTGGCGCGCGCCGCCGCGTGGCGATACGCGAAGGCGCTACGCATTCTCCTCCCGCTGCGGCCCCCGCGCCTGCCCGCCGACCGCTTCCGGCCGCTGGCAGCCGCTCTCTACGCCAACGCCGCTGCGTGCCAGCTGCGGCTGGAGCAGCCGCGTAACGCCGTGGCGAGCTGCGGCCGGGCCCTGGAGCTCGTGCCGGGCTCGGCCAAGTGGCTCCACCGGCGGGCGACGGCGCTGGCGCAGCTCGGGGAGCTGGAGGCGGCGCGATCCGACCTGGAGCTGGCGCTGAGTGCGGAGCCGAGGAACGCGGCAGTGCACGCGGCCATGCGGGGGGTACGCGCACGTGAGAGGGAAGAGGCGACCAGGCTGGGTCGCGCCCTCAGCAAGATGTTTGTGTGATGGTTAACCGACCTTGCGTTAACCACACCTTCGATTAGCACGGTTGGCTATGTACGGTGTGAAAGAAATTCCACATACGTACAAACTTGTTTGTGGGATATTAAAGGAAGTTAGCAAGAGGGAGGAAACTGCGCGGTAAACGGAGGTAAACGGGATCCATAAACTGTGTTTGGTTAAACAAGCGAGGAATGACATGCTCGGTGGAATGGATTCTTGTCTGGGTGGTGGCGAATATACCAAAATCATAAACCAAGGGTTATACCCAGGGACAGTGTGGGGTTTTGCAGTCCTTGGGACTCACCGGGAGGGCGTGTTATTGAGTTTACAAATCTCTGTAAATAAACACAGACCAACTGTTTTTTTCCCTGGTCCTGTGTCTTTCAGCGTACAACGGGCTTCGCTGAAATAAAGGAATTTATGGAGAAATGCTCTTAAAAGCTGTCCTTTCTGGACATTCGTGCCGAGCTCTGCTCCTATCTCCTTCACAGCGCTCACAGAAGCAGCGCCCCCCCCCCCCCCATGGATATCCCGAAAGAGCAGTTTTTCAGAGCGTCTCTAATAAATCGAGCTGGTTGGCTGTGTACGGAACAAAATAAATTCAACATACACAGCAGAGCCTGTGCACTGATGGCAATTATTGAAGGCAGACCGGGATCAACAAAGATCAAATGAAGATGCGAGCGGGGAATAGGATGGAGCTATGCGATGCAACGATCTACCCAGCGCCCACGCACCGAGCTGATCTCATCGCTCCATCTTCACCGTGGATGTCCTCTTAGGCACAATCCCTCCTTTTGGATGCCGCTCAAGTTGTTATTCTCACCGCCAACCATCATCCCTAATCCCAGCGACGTGCCCATCTCTGGCCGATGTTTCTGAACAGTCAAACTTACTGGCTTTTTCATTATTTTTTATTTTACTGGGTAAGGCCCACTGAGCTATACATCTGTTTTTCAGAAGCGACTTGGCTATCAAATGATAGCTCAACGAAGTGGCTTATCACGTGGAAATTGATAGCAGCAAAATACTCTAAACGCACGTCAATTCTGGATGTGGAGGGAAAAACCGGAGGACCCGGAGAAATATCAATGCTACCATCAGGAGAGAGACTTTGCAAACTCCAAATATACAGCAGGCGTCAGGGTTGGGTTCGACCCCACGACCTGTGGACCAGGCCAGATAGTTAACATTCGCCACCGTGGTGACATGTCCATGTCTGATACCTAACAAAAGCTACAAGTGCAGCCCTGCAATTGCTTGCTTGCGCCACGTACCTTTAACCTAAAAAGGCGAAGATCTGTATAGCCTAAACAAACTGTTGGGGCAAGTGCTGTTTGCAAGCACCTATGGAGACCAGCACGGTATACGAGGGGGTGGGTGGCCAGCACCACTTCCGGCTGCATTTGTCCCCCTTTTTACACACCAGGTAATCATTTAAGGCTGAGTCGACCGAGGGGAAGCCCATGACCGGTTCAGATATTCGCTACTGTTATTGGTTGTGAGCAGGAATCCAACTCGGGTTGCTGGGTGCGCAAGAAGTGAGGTGCGCTTACTGCTATGCCACGGCTCCCCACTATGTACGTAGCGCTTGCTGGTGGACAGCAGTGGCAACTGTGGTGGACAGACTGCACACGCCGGTGTGAGGGCGTGTGCCACGGGTGTGTCGGCAGATCGCAGGAACTAGGGCAAGGGTCACGGAGGACCCCATCTGGAGGCCCCTGGAACCTGCTCGTGGGTTCGAGAAGGGAGGCGCGGTCAGGGCGGAGCCAGGCTGCGCTGGCAGCATAAAAAGAGCCGAGAGCGGGGAGCTTGAGGCTGCCGGTTCTGGGAGTCGACTCGTCTCGTCGTCGCTGCCGGCTTCACGAGATGTTGCCTTGCAGGATGGTTGTTGGCTATCTCAGTCGGCGCCGTCAGTGTTAGGCGGCTCGTGTTATGCACAGGCTAGGCTGAGGTGCAGTGGAGAGTGTGTGGACGAGACCGTGAATGTTGATAATAAAGGTGCCTCCTACAAACCTTATCTCCGAATCACTGACACTACATATATAAGATATAACTGGAAAATACGCACCCGGCACACCGCAATAAGTATACTACTAGTCATAAGACACTTACTCGAGTCTACCAGTAAGAAATGAAAGGCCATGGGGAGTGATATGAAAACCGAATATCAGCAGAACCCCATTGTGTGTCTGTGAAATTAAATAAAAATGTATGTTTTAGTCCCTCGACCTATTGGCATTTGCAATCCAATATAATCCAGCACACGAGGTTTAAGCCAGCAACTCTGGACCTGTTTCCACCTTCTCGGTTCTCATCAGCTGCTGGATTGCCAGGTTGGTGTTGCAATGGCATCACAACGGCGTTGTCAGCTCAGGGAGTACGGCAATCGGTCAGATAGGACCACAATATTTTAAATGTCTCGCACGGTGGCACCTAGGCTGCTATATATCGTGGCTTAAGCACATCGTCGTTACGATCATGGTCTCGAACATTTAATGCTGTAGGGGAGCTCCGTCTTCGTCAAATACACACTTTCTTACTCTCCACGTGCAGAACAGGGGAAGAACATACACACTCCACTCAGTAGAACAGGGGAAGAACATACACACTGCACTCACTCAGTAGAACAGGGGAAGAACATACACACTACACTCACTCAGTACAGCAGGGGAAGAACATACACACTCCACTCACTCAGTAGAACAGGGGAAGAACATACACCCTGCACTCACTCAATAGAACAGGGGCAGAACATACACACTACACTCAGTAGAACAGGGGAAGAACATACACACTACACTCAGTAGAACAGGGGAAGAACATACACACTACACTCCACTCAGTAGAACAGGGGAAGAACATACACACTACACTCAGTAGAACAGGGGAAGAACATACACACTACACTCCACTCAGTAGAACAGGGGAAGAACATACACACTACACTCCACTCCACTCAGTAGAACAGGGGAAGAACATACACACTGCACTCACTCAGTAGAACAGGGGAAGAACATACACACTACACTCAGTAGAACAGGGGAAGAACATACACACTGCACTCACTCAGTAGAACAGGGGAAGAACATACACACTCCACTCACTCAGTAGAACAGGGGAAGAACATACACACTCCACTCACTCAGTACAGCAGGGGAAGAACATACACACTACACTCAGTAGAACAGGGGAAGAACATACACACTACACTCCACTCAGTAGAACAGGGGAAGAACATACACACTACACTACACTCAGTAGAACAGGGGAAGAACATACACACTACACTACACTCAGTAGAACAGGGGAAGAACATACACACTCCACTCAGTAGAACAGGGGAAGAACATACACACTACACTACACTCAGTAGAACAGGGGAAGAACATACACACTACACTCCACTCAGTAGAACAGGGGAAGAACATACACACTACACTCCACTCAGTAGAACAGGGGAAGAACATACACACTACACTCCACTCAGTAGAACAGGGGAAGAACATACACACTCCACTCACTCAGTAGAACAGGGGAAGAACATACACACTACACTCCACTCAGTAGAACAGGGGAAGAACCTACACTACACTCCACTCAGTAGAACAGGGGAAGAACATACACACTACACTGCACTCAGTAGAACAGGAGAAGAACATACACACTGCACTCCACTCAGTAGAACAGGGGAAGAACATACACACTACACTCAGTAGAACAGGGGAAGGACATACACACTCCACTCACTCAGTAGAACAGGGGAAGAACATACACACTACACTGCACTCAGTAGAACAGGAGAAGAACATACACACTGCACTCCACTCAGTAGAACAGGGGAAGAACATACACACTGCACTCCACTCAGTAGAACAGGGGAAGAACATACACACTACACTCCACTCAGTAGAACAGGGGAAGAACATACACACTACACTGCACTCAGTAGAACAGGAGAAGAACATACACACTGCACTCCACTCAGTAGAACAGGGGAAGAACATACACACTACACTCAGTAGAACAGGGGAAGGACATACACCCTGCACTCACTCAATAGAACAGGGGAAGAACATACACACTACACTCAGTAGAACAGGGGAAGAACATACACACTACACTCAGTAGAACAGGGGAAGAACATACACACTACACTCAGTACAGCAGGGGAAGAACATACACACTCCACTCACTCAGTAGAACAGGGGAAGCACATACACCCTGCACTCACTCAATAGAACAGGGGAAGAACATACACACTACACTCAGTAGAACAGGGGAAGAACATACACACTACACTCAGTAGAACAGGGGAAGAACATACACACTACACTCAGTAGAACAGGGGAAGAACATACACACTACACTCCACTCAGTAGAACAGGGGAAGAACATACACACTACACTCAGTAGAACAGGGGAAGAACATACACACTACACTCCACTCAGTAGAACAGGAGAAGAACATACACACTGCACTCACTCAGTAGAACAGGGGAAGAACATACACACTACACTCCACTCAGTAGAACAGGGGAAGAACATACACACTACACTCCACTCCACTCAGTAGAACAGGGGAAGAACATACACACTGCACTCACTCAGTAGAACAGGGGAAGAACATACACACTGCACTCACTCAGTAGAACAGGGGAAGAACATACACACTCCACTCACTCAGTACAGCAGGGGAAGAACATACACACTACACTCAGTAGAACAGGGGAAGAACATACACACTACACTCCACTCAGTAGAACAGGGGAAGAACATACACACTACACTACACTCAGTAGAACAGGGGAAGAACATACACACTACACTACACTCAGTAGAACAGGGGAAGAACATACACACTCCACTCAGTAGAACAGGGGAAGAACATACACACTACACTACACTCAGTAGAACAGGGGAAGAACATACACACTCCACTCACTCAGTAGAACAGGGGAAGAACATACACACTACACTGCACTCAGTAGAACAGGAGAAGAACATACACACTGCACTCCACTCAGTAGAACAGGGGAAGAACATACACACTGCACTCACTCAGTAGAACAGGGGAAGAACATACACACTACACTCCACTCAGTAGAACAGGAGAAGAACATACACACTGCACTCACTCAGTAGAACAGGGGAAGAACATACACACTACACTGCACTCAGTAGAACAGGAGAAGAACATACACACTGCACTCCACTCAATAGAACAGGGGAAGAACATACACACTGCACTCACTCAGTAGAACAGGGGAAGAACATACACACTGCACTCACTCAGTAGAACAGGGGAAGAACATACACACTACACTCAGTAGAACAGGGGAAGGACATACACCCTGCACTCACTCAATAGAACAGGGGAAGAACATACACACTGCACTCACTCAGTAGAACAGGGGAAGAACATACACACTACACTGCACTCAGTAGAACAGGAGAAGAACATACACACTGCACTCCACTCAGTAGAACAGGGGAAGAACATACACACTGCACTCACTCAGTAGAACAGGGGAAGAACATACACACTGCACTCACTCAGTAGAACAGGGGAAGAACATACACACTACACTCAGTAGAACAGGGGAAGGACATACACACTCCACTCACTCAATAGAACAGGGGAAGAACATACACACTACACTCAGTAGAACAGGGGAAGAACATACACACTACACTCAGTAGAACAGGGGAAGAACATACACACTACACTCAGTAGAACAGGGGAAGAACATACACACTACACTCACTCAATAGAACAGGGGAAGAACATACACACTGCACTCCACTCAGTAGAACAGGGGAAGAACATACACACTACACTCAGTAGAACAGGGGAAGAACATACACACTACACTCAGTAGAACAGGGGAAGAACATACACGCGTGTGTGTGCGCTCGCCACTGCGTGTAGCTCGCAGTTAGCGTGTATGCGAGACAGACGGGCGGCGTGCACGCGAAGTTGTTCACGGAGCCCTTTAAACCTGCTGCGGGGCACCTCCTCCAATCGGCTGCGCGCGTGCGATTGGTGCGCGGCACCGGGCAGGTGAGCCGGGTCGAAGTTTGGTGGCCACGCGCCAGCCCTTTAAATCCTGCCCCGAGGAGCCGCAGCGAAGGAGGGGGGGGGGAGTCGGTGAGCAGTAACCCTCCCCAGGACACGGAAGAGGGGAGCAGTGGAATCTCACATGAGCGAGGGGACGGGTGGTCAGCCTCTCCCCCCGACACATTCACACGACACGCATATAGGAACTCCCGAGTTGGGAATCGAACCTCCGTTATTGGACGCCGGGCGGCGCTGGTGGACAACTTTTGAAGCTCCAGGCAGCGCTGTGCTACGGGCAGCAGGGGGCCGTGCAGCACAGATACGCGGCACAGTGTTGTGCTGCGCATCTGTGCTGCGCTTGTGCTCACCGCCGTCACGAAGCCCGCACAGACCAGCGTGGTGAAGTATGGTCTAATGACTCCATGACCTCCGTGGGGGTGGGGGGGCTAATATAGCAGTAGAAAGAGCAATGCTGATGATGCTGGAAGGTTGATTGCGGAGGTTTTTTTCCCTCCAGATTCTGGCATCGCGTGCCGGGCGGTCACGTGTGGGAGAGTGACGTCGGAGCAATGGCCGCCCCCGTCATGTCGGCGTGGAGGTCGCTGCGTGGTGAGAGGCCCGGGAGTCCCTGAGCCCTGGGTCCCCTCCCACTGGGTCCCCTTTCCGGGTCCCCTTCCCCGGGTCCCCTCCCACTGGGTCCCCTTTCCTGGGTCCCCTTCCACTGGGTCCCCTTTCCCGGGTCCCCTTTCCGGGTCCCCTTTCCCGGGTCCCCTCCCACTGGGTCCCCTTTCCCGGGTCCCCTTTCCCGGGTCCCCTCCCACTGGGTCCCCTTTCCCGGGTCCCCTCCCACTGGGTCCCCTTTCCTGGGTCCCCTTTCCCGGATCCCCTCCCACTGGGTCCCCTTTCCCGGGTCCCCTTTCCCACTGGGTCCCCTTTCCCACTGGGTCCCCTTTCCCGGGGTCCCCTCCCACTAGGTCCCCTCCCACTGGGTCCCCTTTCCCGGGTCCCCTCCCACTGGGTCCCCTCATCCTGAGCCTCCTGTCCCAGGGTCCCCTTTGCCCGTGCCCCTCTCTGCCCCTGGGTCCCCTTTCCAGGGTCTCACCCTAAGCCCCCTTTCCCGGGTCCCCTCCCACTGGGCCCCCTTTCCTGGGTCCCCTTTCCCGGGTCCCCTCCCACTGGGTCCCCTCATCCTGAGCCTCCTGTCCCAGGGTCCCCTTTGCCCGTGCCCCTCTCTGCCCCTGGGTCCCCTTTCCCAGGTCCGCTATCCCTTGGGTCCCCTTTCTCGTCTCCCCTCGCCCTGGCTCCCGCCTGTCCCTGTGACCCCTCTCCTTAGGGTCCCCTTCATCGGGTTCGCCTTCCCGATTCCCCTCTCCCTGGGTCCCCTTTGCCGAGGGTTCCTTGAATAGGGTCCCCTATTCAAGGGTCCCCTATTCAAGGGTCCCCTATTCAAGGAACCCTCAACAACCTGGGTCTCGTATATACAAATATAAACTAAACTTTATTTTACCAGGTAAGGCCCACTGAACTTGTTTATAGATCTTTTTTCAGAATTGACCTGGCCACAAATGAGAGCTCAACGCAGTGGCTTATCATGTGGACACAGCGTTGGTGTACGGTGATTTTTTTCAGGAATATGTTGCTGTTTTTTTTCATGGACTTTCTGTTTGCACAGTCACAGAAAGTCACTTTAAGATGTTTTTCGTGTTTTTGTTTGTTGCGGTTACACCCGATTCAAGAGCCGAATGGCTCACAGGGCTATACCAAAATAAATAAACTGAAACTGAACTATAGCCGCCGAATACTCTAAACGTTGATTTTAAATGTAGATGAAAAATCCACACGACAACGGGCAGAAATGGCGAGAAGCAAACTCCAATTATACAGCGGGCACAACCTGAATGGTCAGGCGAGGTAGTTACCGTCTCACCAAGACACTGAACGTCTTTTGTACCGTACGTAGCCAACCGCGCTAATTGGAGGTGCGGGCGAAGGACTACAAACTAAACAAGTGAGAAAGAAGTTCGTTTTCATTCGACATGATTTAAAAGTTCATAGCTCCAGTGGTTTCTTAATATCGGACGGAAGAGTGTTCCAGACGGCCACAGAAGAGCATCTGAAAGTGCGCGATGTGGTTGACCGTCTTTGTTCAATGGCCCGCCAAAAGCTGCTGCGAGGATGACCGCAGTTCACGTGATGATTTATGCTCCTTGGCGAGATCAGCGATGTCTTGTGGTTCATGGCTTCGTGTGTGCTCGCCGTGGTGGTGAGATGTTAACTCCCGCGCCTGGTATATGTAGAAGGCCGTGGGTTCGATCGCAACCCTGACCCTTGCTGTATATTTTGAGTTTGCGGCGTCTCTCTCCCCGTGGTCGCGTGGATTTGTCTCCGGGTCCTCCGGTTTTTTTCACTCACGTTTCGAAACGTCACGCGTTTAGAGAATTTGCCTGCAGCTATATATTTCCACGCGATAAGCCACTTCGTTGAGCTATCATTTGTGATAGCCAGGTCGTATTAGTTTGTTTCTATCTCCCGTCGGCAGGGCTGGCCGGCCTGCTTCCTGGTGTGTCCGGAGCGGCGGGGAGGAGGAGCGGCGCCGCCGCATTCACCACGGTCCCGGCAAGGCCGGCACAGCGAGCCCTAGGGCCGGCTCATGGGGGCGGCACGCCGGCAGGTGTGGGGGTGGGGGGAGCGTGAACGAGGGGACACGGAGGCTTCAGGAGAGTGTGGCTCAGTATGATGTGGTGTGTCTACGTGTGTGTGTGTCTACGTGTGTGTGTCTACGTGTGTGTGTCTACGTGTGTGTGTGTCTGTACCTGGTGCGGTGAATAAACATCGCCACTGGGGAGACCAAGGTGGCCGGGCGGGCGTGGTGTTGTCCATCCACCCCCTCGTGTACTGTGCCGGCCTTGATAGGTGCTCGCAAACAGAATTTGCCACAACAGTTTGTGAAGGCTATACGGGGGATCTTTGTGTCGGGAGCGATAGCATAACGGTCAGCGCGTTGCACTGCGAACTCGGCAACCCGGGTTTTGTTCACCTCAAATGAGTACCTAGTGCAGATGTAGTAAACATCGCCACTGGGGAGACAAAGGCAGCCGGACGTGGTGTTCACCACCAAGCCCTCGTGTGTCGTGCCGGCCTTCATAAAAGTCTGTTAATGCTATACGGGGGATCTTTATCTGTACGCAATAAGGCGTCTGCGTGCGGGCATATGGCAGAGCTTGTGAACGCCACTTCGGGGTTGTGAGATCTTTGTCTGCGTGGCAGAGCGAGAGGCCGAGTGGCAGCGCCGCGTGCTCGAGGAGCCGCTCAAGCACCCGGACTTCTTCCGTGTCTCTGAGCTCGTGTCCCTGCGCGACCTCTTCACGGCACGCGTCCACCTGGGCCACAAACGCGGCTGCCGCAACAGGTAGCCTCCTCGTGCCACCCACGTGTCTCTCGTTAGGGTTAAGTCAACGTGGTGGTGGTGGTGGTTTTGTGTCACCCTGCACCACCACTCCGATGAGATTGTCACGTTTGCACAGATTATAGTCTTCTCGCTATCATGGCCCTGCGTCCGTGAACTAAATGCCAATGCGGAGGTTCTGTTGCTGCTGCTCGCCACAACGAGAGGGCTTCAGCAGAGAGTTCGTCCCGTTTTTATCTTGCTCCTCTGTTGAAGGACTGGAGACCACAGGAGTTTGCTATGCGGTCCAATCATAACAATGTGACTGTCTTTAATGTATCTCGATAGATGTTTACAGATATCTCTTTCTATGGGTTTACTGTATGGTCCATAGGTTGGGTTACCTGGCCACAATTGTACCACTGTAGCTGTGTCTTTAAATTTCCATTCATGGAGATGTGTGCATCGGTAATTATTATTCAGAATATATTTTTATCGTGGAGGAATCGGATGTGCCCTAAATCTCTTTTCATAGATGTACAGTGTATCTGTAGTGACATCGGGGATGGCACTGTATGGTGGCGGCTCGGAAGGGCCGTGGCGTGTGATACACCGTCATCGCGTAGCCCCCGTGGCGGGTGTGGTACCAGCCCTCGCGGGGCTTGGTGAGCGCTGGGATAGCGCGGGCACCACGCGTGGCGTGCGGTGGGGTCTCCCACGAGGGGGAACGGGAGAGTGTCAGCCCAGGGACAGGGTTGCCCAGGGACATGGCACTCTGGTTGACCCTGCAGACACGTGATCTAGAGTGTCCACAGAGAAGGCCCCAGGTGGGGGGACAAGGAGGTGATCACGTGTCCGGAGAGAGCTCTCGAGTGGGATCGAGGGGGAGCGAGAAGGCTCCAGAAGGAGGGCGGGGCCAGGGGCGGAGCGGCCCCGACCCGTGGGGGGATATAAGGCGGGTCCCTGAGAGGGACCGGGGTCGCTGTATTCTACAAGCTGGAAGCTCTACATCCTACAAGGCAACCACGTGGTTGCGGACCCGAGTGAGGGCCCGACCCTTCGTAGCAGTAACTGTGTATAGAGTAGTTAGCTGGGTGGTCACCACCCTAGGTTGTATCTGGTGAAGGGGCAGGTCACCGCTTTGTGTTACGCGTTACAAATAAATGTGTTGCCTCTAAAAGGAACAACGTCTGCGACTCAGTTGGACTCACTACATATCGATTAGATTCTGACCGAGACAGCTGCTCCTCATCACAGGTGGCTTAGCGACGGATGCAACTTGACCCGAATCGATCTGACCTCTTGACCCCCCCCTCCCCCTCCAACAGGTACATGACCCCGTACATCTACGGCTGCCGGCTGGGTCAAGACATCATCGACCTGGATCAGACGCTGGAGCACCTGGTGTCGGCGCTGAACTTCACGGCGCATGTGGCGTACCGCGGCGGCGCCGTGCTGTTCGTGACAAGAGCGCGCCAGCACGTGCACCTCGTGGAGGAGACGGCGCGCGCGTGTGGCGAGTTCGCCCACGCGCGCTACTGGCAGGGTGGTTTGCTCACCAACGCGCCGGTGCAGTACGGTGAGCGAGCCCTCCTCCCTGCCCCCCCCCTCACCACGTTCCGAGCAAACACCGGGGATGGGGAACTTGTGGCCATGGGATGGACACGGCCCACGTCACCTCTACCTGTTTCCCCTCGCCTCCTCGCGTCTCCCCCCTCTCCTCCCCTCCCCACATCTCCCCCCTCCTCTCCCCCACGCAGGCGTGGGCGTGCGTCTGCCGGACCTGCTGGTGTTCCTGGGCACGCAGAACAACGCGTTCGAGCAGCACGTGGCCGTGCGCGACGCCGCCAAGCTAAGCGTGCCGACCGTGGGCATCGTGGACTCCAACTGCGACCCGAGCATCGTCACCTTCCCCGTGCCGGGCAACGACGACTCGCCCAGCGCCGTGCGCCTCTATTGCGCCCTCTTCCGCGCCACCATCACGCGCGCCAAGGAGCGCCGGCGCCACCTCGAGACGCTGCACCAGGCGGCGAACGCCGCCACCACCGCCGCCGCCAGCATCGCCACCGGGAGTTAATGGTCGAATCGGCCACCGGCAAAAGCAGGCACTGCTCTTGGTGAAATGGAACTCTTGTTCATTAATCGCCGCCGGCGCGACCGCCGCCAGCGCTGGTGGCAACACTGGCGCCACCACCGCCACTGGAAGTTAATGGCTGTGCCTGCACCAGCGAGGCGTAGACAGCTCTTCCCGGCAATTTTGGATCTCCGCATCACCGACACCACTATCACGGCCACCAGGGCCTGTGCACAAGCGCCGACACCACAGCCAGCTCATTAACGGTCGAGCCTGCCCTCGCAATGTTGCAGCTTAATGTTGTCGTTGTACCAACACCACCCCTGTGAGCCACACAGTGGCGGTGGGGAGGGTAGTTTGCGCAGCCATCCGGGCGTTCGAGAGGCCCCGAACTCCCGATTGTCCGTCGTTTCGCGTTTCGTTTTTTTTCTACATTTTCCTCAAAATTATTCGAATAAAGGAAACTGGACGCCACCAACGTGCGTCGCCCCACATGCGGTCGTCCAGTGTTGGTCACGCAACCCGAGGAGGCACCGCATACATGATGGGGGGGGGGGGGTGGTTGGGGGAAACCACGCAGACGCATGGAATCGGCCGTGATACGCCCTACAAGCGTGGGATGTTTAGCGAGCGATGGGACTGGTCGCCAGGCGCGGTGGGAAGTGGTCTCCAGCCTTTTCTCTTGTCACCCGGTGGTGACAACTCGAGAGAGACCAGGTTAGGAGGTTAATTTGCACTTCGGAGTGCTCCTGGGGTGGCCAGTCTGCTGCCAGCAGGGGGCGGCTGGTTGCTGTGCGCCAATGACGTCACAGGGATCTTGAACATCCTCCGAGTGAAGCAGACGATGCTTAGTAGCACCACCACTATTACCATGGTTAATACCATGGTTAATACCATGGTTAATACCATGGTAACGAGGGCGGTCGGTGGATTTCAACCGTGAACCTCGGCTGACGTCCTCGGGCCGCATCACCGGCCAGGTGTACGGCCACAGATGACGTCCGTGATTTCTCCGTCCACGGGGAGATTTCTCCGTCCACGGGGACGATTCTCGTCAGCTCGCGAGAGTTCCGACCCGGGACCCTGCGTCTCGTGACACCTCGCATTAGCACGGTTGGCTACGTACAGTGGGAAAGAAGTTCTACATACAAACAACTTGGATGACAGTACAAATAAAATCACAACGCTGTCCGCCAGATTGTGCCGGTTAGAGACGAACGTTTCACAACGGCACATGACCGGGGGGGGGGGGGGGGGGGGAGGGGAGTATTTCCACGCGAGATCACTTTTTAAAGAGCTCAGTTGGCCTTACTTGGTCAACTAAACATAGTTTGTGTTTAAATTTAAACCTGTGGAAGGAGTTTCAGCCTTCTCCTGTGTCTCATCAGCAAACCGGTCTCACAAATCGCACATCTGGCCCCTCACAGAAGAAAAACAACACTGGCCCACCCCACCTCTCCCCGCAAGGTTCGTGTTGTTGTGTTTTTAAACATTCTTTATTGTTTCTATTTTTAAAAAATCGTCTCCCGTGAAAAACGTCGCCCACAAACGGCCGACCTGCGCGCTACCCTGTGCCGACGCAGCGAAACGGAGGGGGCACGGGGAACGCCTGGACTGCCAGTCACTCCCAACATCGAACTCAACCCCCATAACTTCATGGGTAAATGTATACTTGATTAAGGTACGAACCGGAAACAATGGAACAGACGACCCGAATCGCAGGCCAGGATACTTGGAATCACCTCGTGGCACACAAGGGACAGCTGCCACTGGAGGGTGTGCCCTTACAGACGTGTTGAGATGAAAAATTGCCCCAGCGAATAGGAGCCCGGCTCTCGCCAACCAACGAGTCATCGTCGTTTGTAACCCGGTCATCCTCAAACAACCCAATGCTAAAAGAATCGCACTGCAAGTGACTCGGTTGGGATCACACGGCAGCAGCAGCAGCAGCATCCTGCCAAAGACCTGGCAGGACCCTCCTGAAGAACAGAGATTCGGCGAGCCTGTCCTGGGTGAACAAGCATAATCATAATAGAATAATTTTCTTTAATCGTTGCGGCATTACAATCGAACGCTCGTGACGCATGCGCTGTTGGGATTTTACATTCACGCGCCCACCGCTTTCGTCACTTGTCCGGGTTTAAAACATAAGCATTACATGGAATTGGGCGATTGCAACGGCTAAGAATACAAATTATTGCGATTTCACAAACATCGTACAGGAAATTAAATCCAGCGGGGAAAAAAAAGGCAACGATAATTGGCGATATGACGGCACTTGTGGAAATGGACGATCGCGACGAGTGTGGATGGCGCTCGTTCACCCAGGAAGAGTCTCAAGGCCACCTTTTCAGGCGGCTCCTGACAAGTTTGCGCAGTTGGGGGACAATGCTGCAGCTGCCATGTGTTATAAACCCTTTCTCGTTCCAAGACAACTGCAAGTTGCAGGGTGGGGTCCCGTTCACCACTGAATTTCAGAACACACAAGCGGTTAAGCATACATTTCATTTATAGGCATAGTGGCGCCGTTGTTTTTAAAGGCATTACTCGTCGCAGAGAACTGTAGCGAAACGGCCACCACACTCTACTATAGCTGGCACCAAACTGTGCCACACACCCTCCCGCATGGCCTTGTGGGAGCCTCGATACTCAAAGTTACACGTCCGTACGTGTATGCCATCGGAACGGAATCGGAAGAAAAATTGATGACGTACGTACATTACCGCAAGGGCAAAGGGTTAAGTTATTTGGCCGGCGAATTTCATTCAAGCGCAATTCACAACACGGGTCTATAAGACGGCGCCACCTCCATAAACACGCGCAGCATTATAGCAGCAGCGACAGTCCTTGCAAGGAAACAAACGCGTCGTTTAAAAAAGCTAGCGTTATATAAACGCTGCCAAAATTAACAGGTCATGTAAAATATACACAAACACACACGCTTTCTCCAGCCGATATCGTGACGCACGACTAAATTTTGGATTGGGCCAAATTTGTCTCGTCCAAGACACCACCTGACCGACGCGGCCAAACGAATTAAACTGTCCTGCGGTGAGCCGATTGCGATCGTTTTAGCTCGACTTGCCGATGGCGAGGAACACTTCTCACTTGCCCATTCACTCACTGAGGCAGAGAACGATTGAAACTATACTAAAACTAAACTATTGTTATTTTACCAAGGCCCACTGAGCTATGCAGCTTTTTCAGGAGCGACCTGGCCACGATAACTCAACGAAATGGCTTATGTGAAAATGTATAGCAGCCAAAAACGCATGATTATAAATGTGGAGGTAAAAATCGGAGTACCCGGAGAAAAATCCCACACGACCACGGGGAGACAGAGAGACACGCAAACTCCAAATATACAGCAGCAATCAATCGCGATGGAACCCACAACCTCCTGTATACCAGGCGAGGTAGTTAACATCTGCTAGCCACCAGGGACACCATTTCTCGCCCACACACTCGCTCACCAGTGACGAGGCAGAGAACACATCTCACAGCGAGAATTATCAGCGATTAGATTCACGAAGTTTCTCTCCCAGGATGTCCGGGAGTGAAGATTCTGGAGGTCAAGATTAATTGATATCCGATTACTACTCGAGTTCTCTCAACTCACCACTGGTGATCCAAGCTGACACAATAATTATAGGTGGCGTGACGGGGAAACGCTTGTACTCCGTCGGGTCAGGCAGTGGACGGCGCCGACGACACAAATCTGGTCAGACCATTACAAGGCTTAACCCAAAAATAATTTATGAATAAAATATACACGTGAGTCGATACTGTACATCAAAACATACACTAGGAAGACCCGTGACAATGACCGTGTTGAACGACCAAATACGGTAATGAGCAGTAGTCAATCGCGCCGGTAAGAGAAGATTCCCTACCCCTGCCTAAAACTAGAGCCACCGGCTTACAATTTGCGAGCCCATACCGGTTGCAATCCACGCGGTTTGCTTACCGACTTATGGCGGTAAGCTAACGTCGTCGTAGACCTTGAGGAGTAAGGCAAGGCGGTGGCATCGCCAGTGGTGTTGAGGAGCTCTCTCTCGCGCCGGCCACCGCTGCCAGCCTCGGTTACAAAGTGCCAATGGGCAGGCCCAGAGGAACAGAGGCAATATATTTTAAGGCCACAGTATAATTAATTTAAAATCACAGTGTGGCCTTAAAAGGAAACTATGATAGTAAAAGGTGATGTTTCGGAGGCTGTCAATTATATAATTAAAATTCACATAACACACGTTCCATCAAGGAATTTTCCAGGTTAATCTTGTTTTAAATGGCACAATTTTTAGTTTACAAAGTTGTAGAACTTTGTTGATGCCGGGTACTCGTGTGAGAGGTGGTGGTGGTGGTGGTGAGGGGACGAGGATCTAACGTTCCAGACCGTCTGACAATCCGGAGAGTTACCCAACACATCTGCCGATCATGGCCGTAAAGGTTCCCGGTCACGGTTGGTGGCAACGACTGGCACCTCGCGTCTATTGGCAAAGTGACGTTGTGCGGCAACGTCTCTGGCGAAGAAAAAGTGCCCCAAAGCAGCCGAGATTTTCCAACGCTTCAAAAAGGGTGGACAGCGGTCGACAAAAAGCGATGGCGGGAGAGCGGATTATCCTTGAATGCCAGCTTCTGGGTGCAAAGGTGTCCCCAGAATCACGCTGGGACAAACGGGCATTGTGTAGCAGTGGATAGAGAGACAGCTGGAACGTCAGGGTCAGGATCACTTCACTCTCAACAGTTTCTACCACTGACAGTGCAGCACAACTTGGAACCACCCTAAATTATTTCTCCCTATTTCAAACAGACGGGCTATGTACAGAATATACATACAGTGGAGATGCGCATGTACACCGTGTACATATACAGTTAATTACACCGCTCCTATCTACACATCGCACACGCAAGGAAGAATTTAGTGGTGCCGCTCCCCCTCCTCGAGCATGCGCGAGTCTTCTCCGGGCATTCGGCTTTCCTCCCACGTGTCACCACACTCATGAGTGGAGCTGGCTAAGCATCCCAACGTAGGACCGCAGATCTTGGGAACTTTAAATAGGCAGCAGTGGTTGGTTCTGTGGCTGCCCCCCCCCCTCGTCTGCGGTTTTACACACGCAGCGAAGAAAATTCTACAGCAATCCGAAATGTGATTTACATGAATGACGCCATACAAAATATAACAATTCAGCTCACAAACTTCCCGCTAACGATTACCTGACTTTCCAGGATTTGATTCAACAATCGATTCTCTCTCGTTTTTACTGTCTCGTTTGTATTGTTTCTGGTATCTTTGTCTCATTTGTTTTGCACCCTATTGGCCTACATTTAATAGCGTGTCACCTACACATCCACGTGTGTCCGAGCACTATGATTGGCTAATCAGTGACGACTACCCGATCTCAGCCAATCACAGTATTGGCATTTTAGCCAATCACAGCTATGCGGCTCCGCCTCCCCTTTCCTGATAGATAAATAAATAGCGTTCAAAGACACGTTGGTGCGAGTCAGAAAACACACGACCACACGCACTAACACACACATACGCCCACACACATTTCAAAATAGAATTTATTATAACTATTTAAAAAATCATGTGACTGTGTGCTGTGTGTATGCCTGTGTCCGTCTATATAGGTGTGCTGTCTGTTATGTAGTGTACTTTGTCCATGTGTGCATTCTTGTGTCTGTGTTTGTTCTGTCTGACTGCGTCTGTGCGTTTATCTGTGTCTATGGAAAGCGTTGGCGGAGTGGTTGGCGCTTTGCACCATAAATCCAGCAATAAGAATTTGATTCCTGTTCACGACCGATAATGGTGCCGGGCACGGTGTGGGCTACCCAACACCTCGTGATGTGCCATGCTGGCCTTCATAGGTGCTATTCGCTAACAGCACTTGCCCCAAAAGTCTGTTGAAGGCTGTACAGATCTTTGTGCGCATGTGTGCGGGCGTGCTGTGTGTGTGGTTGACATGCTCCAAGATGCTCAACAGTTTCAGGTTGCCGTTGCTGACGAGTCTCACCGCACTCGCTCCATCATTTTATGGACTCTCACCCTCCCATCACTGTGCATGTCTCCAACGATCAGTCGGAGTCAGAGAGTACGATGATGTCTTGAGGAACGCACTGCGTTGACACGCTCACCTTCGCAAAACACGCACAGGTGCACACGAGTCAAAGATCCCCCGTGCGGCCTTACAGACTGTTGGGGCAAGTGCTGCTAGCGAGCACCTATTAAGGCACATGAGTAGGTACGTGGCCAGCACCACGCCCAGCCGTCTTTGTCCCCTTAGTGGCAATGTTTAAACACCGCACGAGGTACTCATTTGAGACCAAGTCGACCTACGGGAGGCCCCGCTCCGGTTCATATAATCGTCACTGGTGTTGGTAGCCGTGAGCGGCAATCGAACCTAGGTTGCTGGGTTCTTAGCGCAGCGTGCTAACCGTTATGCCACCACTCCCCACAACACACACAGGCACACACACAGTCACACACACGAGACGAAGATTCCCTGTGTAGCCTTAATAGTGTTGGGGCAAATTCCATCAGTGAGGGCCTACGATAGGCGATACGGCGCAGTAGGTGGCGGTGGTGGCAGTGGCGGCAGTGTGGCCGACCATGTGCGCGACGCAGGTTAGATCTGTATGTATGTTGAACTTCTATCGCACCGTACGTAGCCAACCGTGAGATGACGGAGGAGAGAGAGGCAGGCCACCGGCGCCCTTACCTTGTATGGTTTGCCGGCGGCAGACAAAAGCCTGGATGGCGATGCGGACCCTGATAGCGGGGGGCGGCTAGGGAGGTCCCTGAGATCCAGAAGTATTGGGTTGGTGAGCCGCTGTTGGTGGCTGGCCAGGGAAGGGGGAGGTGGGGGGAGCCGGCAGGGGCGGAAAGGGAGGTGGGGGGGGACGTTAAACCCGGGAGATGGAATAGGCCTACTACTACTTTTATTTTACTTGGTAAGGCCCGCTGAGCCATGTAGGTCTTTTTCAGATAATAGCTTCACGAAGTGGCTTATCATCGCATGGAAAGTAATAGCAGCCAAATACTGTCAACGCATGTCGATTCTAAAATGTGGAGGAAATAAACAAGAGAACCCGGAGAAAAATCCACCCGACCACGGGGACAGAGACACCAAACTCCAAATATACATACAGGTTTTTTTGGATTATGAGACTTCCTTTGCCAGTAACAAGATATAGTAATAGGTTTTACCCTTTTAACTGACACAAAAACTGACACCTTTATTCAAGGCATCATGTCTGCAATAACCACAACACAAGCAGTCAAAATGCTAACAAAAGAGACAACTCTGATAATAATATGCACTTTTGTTTGCATTTTGACTGCTTGTGTTGTGGTTATTGCAAACATGATGCCTTGAATAAAGGTGTCAGTTTTTTGTGCCAGTTAAAAGGGTAAAATCTATTACTATATCTTGTTACTGGCAAAGGAGGTCTCATAATGTAAATGCTCACCCCGAGCCCTCAATACTCTGATAGTGTGCTGTTTTTGAGTTGTACGCCTTTTGGCGTCTTCTGGTCCAACACCAGTGGAGACTAGGCTCTAAGAAAAGCCGTCTCGAGTGTGGACCAATCAAATTCAAGGACAGTGCATATTATTATCAGAGTTGTCTCTTTTGTTTGCATTTTGACTGCTTGTGTTGTGGTTATTGCAAACATGATGCCTTGAATAAAGGTGTCAGTTTTTGTGCCAGTTAAAAGGGTAAAACCTATTACTATAGGTTTTTTGGGGTTAGATCGCATAAATATAAAGCAAGCTTAAGTCGCGATTGAACCGATGAGCCCCTGTACAATAGGCGAGGTAGTTAACATCTCGCCACTGTGCCACTTGTCAGTGGGCCTTACCTGGAAAAATAAAAATTGTAAAATAGTCATAGTAATATCAAACAACCCGCACCTCCGATGAGGACAGTTGGCTACGCACGGTGAAAAATAAGTTCCACATAGATACAGGGACACCCGGATTGTAATTGCAACATTACAGCAAACTGCTGGGAAATCTGGTTGCCTACGGGGATACCTTGGGAGCTGTGGGGACACGTGGGTGGGCCACTGTGATGTCTGGGTGGATGTAGAGATAGCTGGACATGCTATGGCGAGCTACAGAAACACATGGAAGCTATGGGGGTACCTGTGCATGCTATGTAGCACATGGATTACCATGGGGATGAGAAGAAATAGCAACTCATGGGAAACTATAGTACGCATGGGACACTATACTAACACATGGCACGTTATGTAACAAATGGGACGTACACACGGGGCGCTACGTAACACACGGGACGCTACGTAACACATACGAAGCTACGTAACACACGGATCGCTACGTAACAGAGACGCTACGTAACACACGGGACGCTACGTAACACACGGGAAGCTAGGGAGTGCTCCTAATCTCAGCTTGTTACCTGTATAAAAGACACCTGTCCACAGAAGCAATCAATCAATCAGATTCCAAACTCTCCACCATGGCCAAGACCAAAGAGCTCTCCAAGGATGTCAGGGACAAGATTATAGACCTACACAAGGCTGGAATGGACTACAAGACCATTGCCAAGTAGCTTGGTGAGAAGGTGACAACAGTTGGTGCGATTATTCGCAAATGGAAGAAACACAAAAGAACTGTCAATCTCCCTCGGCCTGGGGCTCCATGCAAGATCTCACCTCGTGGAGTTGCAATGATCATGAGAACGGTGAGGAATCAGCCCAGAACTACACGGGAGGATCGTGTCAATGATCTCAAGGCAGCTGGGACCATAGTCACTAAGAAAACAATTGGTAACACACTATGCCGTGAAGGACTGAAATCCTGCAGCACCCGCAAGGTCCCCCTGCTCAAGAAAGCACATATACATGCCCGTCTGAAGTTTGCCAATGAACATCTGAATGATTCAGAGGACAACTGGGTGAAAGTGTTGTGGTCAGATGAGACCAAAATGGAGCTCTTTGGCATCAACTCAACTCGCCGTGTTTGGAGGAGAAGGAATGCTGCCTCTGACCCCAGGAACACCATCCCCACCGTCAAACATGGAGGTGGAAACATTATGCTTTGGGGGTGTTTTTCTGCTAAGGGGACAGGACAACTTCACCGCATCAAAGGGACGATGGACGGGGCCATGTACCGTCAAATCTTGGGTGAGAACCTCCTTCCCTCAGCCAGGGCATTGAAAATGGGTCGTGGATGGGTATTCCAGCATGACAATGACCCAACACACACGGCCAAGGCAACAAAGGAGTGGCTCAAGAAGAAGCACATTAAGGTCCTGGAGTGGCCTAGCCAGTCTCCAGACCTTAATCCCATAGAAAATCTGTGGAGGGAGCTGAAGGTTCGAGTTGCCAAACGTCAGCCTCGAAACCTTAATGACTTGGAGAAGATGTGCAAAGAGGAGTGGGACAAAATCCCTCCTGAGATGTGTGCAAACCTGGTGGCCAACTTCAAGAAACGTCTGACCTCTGTGATTGCCAACAAGGGTTTTGCCACCAAGTACTAAGTCATGTTTTGCAGAGGGGTCAAATACTTATTTCCCTCATTAAAATGCAAATCAATTTATAACATTTTTGACATGCGTTTTTCTGGATTTTCTTGTTGTTATTCTGTCTCTCACTGTTCAAATAAACCTACCATTAAAATTATAGACTGATCATTTCTTAGTCAGTGGGTAAACGTACACAATCAGCAGGGGATCAAATACTTTTTTCCCTCACTGTAACACATGGGACACCGTGGTGGGTAGGGAATGGGTTCGACACCTGTTGGCACCAGCCCGCTCCACCGCCACGTGCGCACACCGCACCGCCCCGGCCTGCAGGAGCGATGGCGCGTTCTCCGACTGCGTGGGCACCAGCTTGGGCCTCTGCAGGCTGGGCAGTACCCGCTTGGGCGCCACCTGCACCACCTTGGCAGTTACCGCGCCCGCCGACTTCACGGGCGACAGTGCCAGCACCATCTGCCGGTTCCGGGTGCCGGAACGCTGCGGCGGCAACTCGATGGGAGAGGAGCAGAGTGGCGCCGTCGCGGCGTGGGCCAGCTGGTCCCCTAGCACCTCCTGCGAGGAGCTGTACGAGTGCTCACACAGCGACGGGCGCAGTGGCACCAGCCGGTGCTGCGAGGGAAGAGGATGGTGGCAGCGGCGGTGCCAGCGGCGGAGGTGAGGACGACACAGAGCGGGTGCCACAGTGGCAAGATATTAACTCCCTCGCCTAGTGTATAGGAGGATGTGGATTTGATCCCGACCCTGACGCCTGATATATTTGGATTTTGCGTGCCTCTCTCTCTCCCCGTGGTTGTGTGAATTTTTCTCTGGGTCCTTCGGTTTTTCCCTCCACATTTAGAATCGATATCACGCGTTTAGAGTATTTGGCTGCTATAAATTTCCACATGATGATGACAAGCCACTTCGTTGCGCTATCAATTGTGGTAGCCAGGTCACTTCTAGAAAAAGAGCTACGTAGCTCAGTGGACATTACCTGGTAAGATACAATTTCGGTAAAGCCACATACATATAAAAAATAACAAAAAAATTACAAATTTTGATTTAAAGCTTTCGTGATTGCAGTGATTCATATTCTTGGTTCTTTCGGTAAAGTCACGTTGAAGGGAAACAATAAGATAATAAAATATATATAAAACAATAAAATTATCACGACGTTTTGACTGCAACACAAGCAGTCATCATCAGCTGTGAAAACCAACAGCAAGAACATTTGAAAGAAGTGGCGGTTTGTATTTATTTATTTTTTAACGTTAGCACCACGGAGAGCGATTTGACAGTTTGTTTAGATGGACGAGTCCATCTATGTTCAGAAAAGAGGAGGGAGGAAACGAAAAATTAATGTATGCTGTCTGAAAGCCACCGTAAGTGTGAACAATCAATAAAGATCCAAAATGGTTTATCAAATCCTTCCAATGATTGCTAAGCCAGAATCCATCTTCTCGGTTGAAATTGTCTCTGTTTGTATATGTGGATAGCCTCATGAACGAATCTCATGGTAGCCAGATGGCTTGCAAAGAACCGCTGTCTTGGAGAAGTCAATGTCATGTGAGCCTACTGAATTATAACAGTGATCTGCCACGGCCGAGGTGTTGGTCCTACCGTTTTTAAGGTCTGCTTTGCGTTCACGAATGCGGTCCGAGACATGTAGTTTGGTTTCTCCAATGTAACTACTACCACAGAGGCAACTTAGTTTGTAGACACCAGGATACTGTATGTCTGGAATGACATCTTTTACAGACGGAACCAGATCACGGATTTTATGTAATGTGTTGAAACGGACCTGGATCTTGTGTTTATTAAAGATTTTGGAGATCTTTTTTGTGATCCCTGCAATATAGGATAAAGTGATGGCTTTGAAAGGCTCCTCAAGAGGGTCCTTCTTCATGGTTTGAGTGATAGCTTTGCGGATTGTATAGTCGGAGTAACCATTAGCCTTAAGAGCTTAGTGTACGTGCTTGAGTTCACTGCCTATGTGTTCTTGGTCGGATATGCATTGGGCTCTATGGTGCAGAGTCTTGATGAGAGAATTCTTCTGTGATGGATGGTGGTGGGAATCCGGTTTCAGATAAGCATCCATATGGGTAGCTTTCCTGTAGACAGAGTGGTTCATTGAACCATCAGGTCTCTTTTTTATTAGGACATCCAGTTCTATTTCCGATGGTCTGAAATCCGTTTTAGCTAAAGGTCTAAACTTTGCAGTCACACCTAACCACATACCAGTTAATGATATCATTGCCCAAGTAGACGTGGCTCTCAAGGGCCTGGGTCACATCGCTGCAGACATAGCAAGATCTGAAATCGCTGCAACCCTCAAAAACGCTAATATGCCAGCTAGCAACCTCAGCAAAGATGAGCGTTTTGAATTATATAAATTAAAAAAGAGGGATGACATTGTAATCCTCTCAGCCGACAAGGGCAATGCTACTGTCATCATGGATAAAATAGAATATAGCAACAAAATTAAAGAATTAATCAACGATGGCAGCTATACAAAAATATAAAGAGATCCCACCAACAGCCTCGTCACACAAACCAACAAAATAATTTCTGATTCAACCGCATTAATTGATCAAACTAAACAGTTTTCGTTGAAACCTTCTGCTGCCAGGCCACCAAGATTATACGGCTTACCAAAAATACATAAAGTAGATACACCCCTTCGTCCCATGGTCTCTACTATCAACTCCCCCACCTACAAACTGGCTCGTTTTCTGTCTGAAATCCTGCGGCCTTTCACTGGAAAAGCCACATCTGCGGTACAAAATTCTACTCACCTGGTATCGACAATCAAAGGTATGTCCCTGTCCCCAGATGACCTGTTGTCAGTTTGATGTAGTTTCCTTATTCACCAAAGTTCCTGTACCTGACACCATCGCAATCATTGAAGACTTGGTTCATCAAGGACTAAATACTGAGGTACCCCCCCTGGTGAGACACTGCTTAACCAATACATACTTCACTTGGAATGGAACTTTCTACAAACAAACTGAGGGCACCCCAATGGGCTCCCCCCTATCTCCGGTTATAGCCAACATTTTCATGGAGAAATTTGAGACTGATGCCATCCAGACTGCCACTCTGCGCCCAACCGTATGGAAGAGATACGTGGATGACACTTTTGTCATCTGGCCAAATGGCCGGCCTGCTCTAGACCAATTCTTCGACCACATCAATTCCATACACCCAGCCATCAGATTTACCATGGAAGTCGAAAACGATGGCAAGCTACCTTTTTTGGATGTCCTAATAAAAAAGAGACCTGATGGTTCAATGAGCCACTCTGTCTACAGGAACGCTACCCATACGGATGCTTACCTGAAACCGGATTCCCACTACCATCCATCACAGAAGAATTCTCTCATCAAGACTCTGCACCATAGAGCCCAATGCATATCCGACCAGGAACACATAGGCAGTGAACTCAAGCACGTACACCAAGCTCTTAAGGCTAATGGTTACTCCGACTATACAATCCGCAAAGCTATCACTCAAACCATGAAGAAGGACCCTCTTGAGGAGCCTTTCAAAACCATCACTTTACCCTACATTGCGGGGATCACAAAAAAGATCTCCAAAATCTTGAATACACACAAGATCCAGGTCCGTTTCAACACATTACATAAAATCCGTGATCTGGTTCCGTCTGTAAAAGATGTGATTCCGGACATACAGTACCCTGGTGTCTACAAACTAAGTTGCCTGTGGTAGTAGTTACATTGGAGAAACCAAACAACATGTCTCGGACCGCATTCGTGAACACAAAGCAGACCTTAAACACGGTAGGACCAACACCTCGGCCGTGGCTGATCACTGTTATAATTCAGTAGGCTCACATGACATTGACTTCTCCAAGACAGAGGTTCTTTGCAAGCCATCTGGCTACCATGAAATTCGTTCATGAGGCTATCCACATATACAAACACAGAGACAATTTCAACCGAGAAGATGGATTCTGGCTTAGCAATCATTGGAAGGATTCGATAAACCATTTTGGGTCTTTATTGATTGTTCACACTTACGGTGGCTTTCAGACAGCATACATTCATTTTTCGTTTCCCCCCTCCTCTTTTCCGAACATAGATGGACTCGTTCATCTAAACAAACTGTCAAATCGCTATCCGTAGCGCTAACGTTTATAAATAAATAAATGTGAACCGCCACTTCTTTCAAATGTTCTTGCCGTTGGTTTTCACAGCTGATGATGACTGCTCAAGGTTGTAGTAGAAACGTCGTGAGAATTTTGTTGTTTTATATATATTTTATTGTTTCCCTTCAACGTGACTTTACCGAAAGAACCAAGAATATAAAAAATAACATTTTTCTATCTACGTGGCTTTACCGAAAGACCCAAAGAATATGAATTCCTGCAGTCACAAAAGCTTTAAGTCAAGATTTAAAATAAAATGTGTTTACTTTAGTTTGCTAAGATGGCCAAACGTCAGATTCCTCCAGTTTAAATAAAGATTCCAATTCCTGTTATAGGACCACAGAGCTTGGGCACTTGTCGGTGGTAGCGCCGGCATTTGATCACCACCCTCGAAGATCGACTCAAGAAGGAACCACACATGAGAGCGGGTGATGGCAGCCAGGTGGTGAAGGGGCACTAACAATTGCTCGAGCTCTGTGGTCTTCGATACATTAAGATGTTTTCAAGCAAGGAACGAAGACCGGAGCACCCGGAGAAATCACACGCTTTCGAGTGGGCAACACTCTATCCCTGTACAGATGAAATAAGATTGTTTCACATTACTGCTGGGGTACGGCACCTCGACGCTGACGGGGAAGGGAGTTTGACAACAATTGTGTGATCCACAACCCTCGCCTCCACGGTATTGGATTACACTGTGTAACAATTTGTTTTTGTTCCTGGGTAGTAAGTGTTATTTCCTAATTGCTTACGCCTCAAAATTACAGAAAATAGCTATTATTCCCCACAACATTTGCTTTTGTGACCAGGACAATGATACTTTGAAATGTATCCATTTCAATGAGAAAATGGGCGAATTTGTGTCTTTTCGTTCACATAAAGTCAGAAAAAAACAAATGAATAAAAATTCACACGTATTTATACTAAAGTAATACAGCACCACACCCGGCTGCCTTTGTCTCCCGAGTGGCGATGTTTACACACCGCACCGGGTACTCATTTGAGGCAGTGTCGACCTAGGGGAGGCCCAGAACTGGTTCAGATAATCGTCACTGGTGTTGGTCGCGAGTGGGAATCGACCGCGGGTCGCCGGATTCGTCGCGCAGTGCGCTAATCGCTACGCCACACACAGTCACACACAAACGCCCACATGCGTATGTGTAATAATATATTCTCTGGATTATAAAATACATAACATTTCCCTCCTGTATTTTAAAGGCAAAAATTGGGGATGCACCTCAATCACTTTCCGGAGCGTGTTATAATATGTAGAACACGGTCATAAAATTCGTAGGAACGCGATGTAACGTGTGTGCTGTGAGCGCAAGAATTGATTTTAAATCGGCGAACAGGCGCGTCGTTACTCGCCTAGCCTTCACCATCTGCTCACCGTCAAACATTTGTCTGGAATGCCATCCTCGCTGGAGATCTCCACGACAGAAACTTCCGCTGTGCTGGTGACCTCTTCCATGAAGGGGACCGCCTTAGCTATGGGGACCTCCTCCGCGCCGGGGACCTCCTCCGCGCCGGGGAGCTCCTCCGCGCCGGGGAGCTCCTCCGCGCCGGGGAGCTCCTCCGCGCCGGGGAGCTCCTCCGCGCCGGGGAGCTCCTCCGCGCCGGGGAGCTCCTCCGCGCCGGGGACCTCCTCCGCGCCGGGGACCTCCTCCGCGCCGGGGACCTCCTCCGCGCCGGGGACCTCCTCCGCGCCGGGGACCTCCTCCGCGCCGGGGACCTCCTCCGCGCCGGGGACCTCTGTCGTGCCGGGGACCTCTGTCGTGCCGGGGACCTCCATTGTGCTGGGGAACTCCTCCTTGCTGGGGACCTCTGAATTGGAGAGTTCCTGCATGCAAGGAACCCTCTCCACGGTGGGGATCTCTGTCCCGAAGACCTCCTCCAGCACTTCACTGCCACTCGGCGTGGCAGCGACGTCATTCTCAGCTGCCAGTCCTGACTTGGACGCCTACAAGACACCAAGAAAGCCTCAGTGATCACCCTTTTATACTGGAACATCTTTACCATGATGCGGGTACTCTTCCACTGGCTATTTGCTGAGCCGAGCCGAAGCAAAGCCATGCTAAGCTGGCTTCGTAAGACATTGTATTGTGGCTCGGGGGCAGGCACGGCCAGGGACTGGGATAGTGACGTCGTCACACCAAAAGATCAATCAAATAGCGTCCAGCGGATCCTTGGGCGGTGAAAAAGCGTGCGAGTGAATGTTTGTCTGCGCGTGTGTATATCTGTGTGCTTGCGTGAATGGGTGTGTGTTTGTTTGCATGCATGTACACCTTGTGTGGAGGAGGCTCATAAAGGACGCGACTGGGCAATTGCACCACCAACAACGGAGAGCGGAGGAGCGACACTCACAATCAGGGAAGCTCCAGGGAGGATAAGACGAAATGTTGGCACTGCTGGTGCATCTGCCAGTAATCTCAGTCAGTCAACCCAAAGCACCTGCGTCTGTCCCGTGACCACCTGCTAGCTGCGAGCCTTCCACGCCTCACGTGGTCCGAAAGTGCATCTAGCTCGGCAAAACCGCTGTGGTGATGTCACCACCACTTAGTGGCGAATGGTGACTGTTGTTGTGTGTGGGCAGCGGTAGTCCAGTGGTTAGTGCACTTTGTAATGAATCCAGCGACTCCAGTTTGATTTCTGCTCAGAAATAATAGCCCTGGCGAATATTTTAACCGGTCCTAAGCCTCTTCTAAGTTGACTCAGCCTTAAATGAGTACATGGTGCAGTGTGTAAACAACAGCACTCGTGAGACAAAGAAGGCTACGCATGGTGTTGGCCACCCCACCCCAATGAAATGCCGTGCCGATCTCCATAGGTGCTCGCGAACAGCACTTACCCCCAAAAACTGTTAAAGGCTACACGGGGATCTTTGTTTTTTTGTATATGTATATGTGTACGTGTTATGTGTGAATGTGTACATGTGTACGTGCGTGACACGTGTGCACGTGTTGTTCACGTGACGTCCACGTGGCAGGTGCGCGTGCCTCACACCGTGGATAAGAGCCTCTCTGCTGAACAAGAAGATTCGTCCACTTTTGGGTCTCCAGCCAGCTTCACCATGAGGCCTTCAGCCAGCTCCAACTTGGATCCTCCAGCCAGCTCCACCTTGGGGCCTTCAGACAACTCCACCTTGGGGCCGTCAGCCAGCTCCACCTTGGGGCCTTCAGCCAGCTCCACCAAGAGACCTCCAGCCAGCTCCACCTTGGGGCCTTCAACCAACTCCACCTTGGGGCCTCCATCGCCACAGCCCAACCCCGGAGCCACATTCTTTCTGGGAACATCATCTATGACATCTGTCACAGAATCAATGTCCATAAACTCCACCGAGGAGTCTGTGTCTGTTATCTCCACCGTGGAGATGGCCTCTTTCACCTCCACTGTAGAGACAGTAGCTGGGACCTCCATGCTGGGGTCAGAGTCTCTCACCTCTGCTCTGGAGACACAGTCTTTGACCTCCATCACAGAGATGCAGTCTTTCATTTCCCCCAAAGAGACAACCCTGGGAGCGGTGCTCGTGACCTCCATGCTATCCGTCCGTGCAAACACCTCCGCCGTGGGGTTCAGGAGCACCGCCACCTCCTTCGTGGGGACACGCGTCAACACCACCACCGCTGCCACCCCCGTGGAATCCTGTGGCCCCACCTCCTCCGCTGTGGGGCTCAGCGGCACCGCCTCCTCTGCCGCGGAGCCTCCGTTGATCCTGGCGGAGCCATCTCCGTGCCTCAACGAGGTGGCCTCCTTGCTGGAGACAGAGTCGTGGGGCGAGGTGGATTCCTCGCTCTCGGATGGTTTCTGTTCCCCCTCTTCTTCTCCATCCTCTCCCTCCTTCTCCTCATTGTAGTTCTTGCCTGCAACCAAGCACAAGCAACAAGAAAAAAAAATGAATGCAAACCGGACTCAATCAGCTGCAAACCAACCAGAAAAAATGAACCACATTCATGGGCGGTAGGGTGGTGGCACGCTGCTTGCGCTCGTGTCTCCAGGCAAGAAGGGGATGGGTTCTACTCCAGGCTCTGGTGCTTTTCTGTATGGTGTATGAATATTCTCCCCCTGTTCTGCATGGGCTTCCTCCGGGTTTCCTACTCCCATAGCGTATTGGCCAAAATAATCTCAATGCTGAAAAACTACACTGCAAATTACTCAATCGGGATCATACAAACACAGTAGTGACATCGCCCCCCTACTGCTAAAAAAACTTGTTCAAGACCCTCCCCTTCTGACATTAGGAAGACACTGGGAGCTATGCACTTTTAAATCATCATCTAGATCGAAAACTCATTTCTTTAGAACTCCTTGTTTTAATGTTTAGTTTACTGTCCCTACTCTTTGGTCCTTTTAGTTGTCCTTCCCCTGCAACTCCAATTAGCACGGTTGGCTATGTACGGTGTGAAAGCAGTTCAACATACATACATACATTTACTGGGTGTCCGAGCATAATCATAATTCATTAGAATATCTGAGCAACCAGATTGGACCAGATACAAGCAACTAGTTTCAATTAAACATAAATGTAAGCAACCAGACTCAATCTACTCCAAGTCAGATTTTTACCAGATACAGTGAGGGAAAAAAGTATTTGATCCCCTGCTGATTTTGTATGTTTGCCCACTGAGATAGAAATGATCAGTCTATAATTTTAATGGTAGGTTTATTTGAACAGTGAGAGACAGAATAACAACAAAAATCCAGAAAAACGCATGTCAAACATTTTATGAATTGATTTGCATTTTAATGAGGGAAATAAGTATTTGACCCCTCTGCAAAACATGACTTAGTACTTGGTGGCAAAACCCTTGTTGGCAATCACAGAGGTGAGACGTTTCTTGTAGTTGGCTACCAGGTTTGCACACATCTCAGGAGGGATTTTGTCCCACCCCTCTTTGCAGATCTTCTCCAAGTCATTAAGGTTTCGAGGCTGACGTTTGGCAACTCGAACCTTCAGCTCCCTCCACAGATTTTCTATGGGATTAAGGTCTGGAGACTGGCTAGGCCACTCCAGGACCTTAATGTGCTTCTTCTTGAGCCACTCCTTTGTTGCCTTGGCCATGTGTTTTGGGTCATTGTCATGCTGGAATACCCATCCACGACCCATTTTCAATGTCCTGGCTGAGGGAAGGAGGTTCGCACCCAAGATTTGACGGTACATGGCCCCGTCCATCGTCCCTTTGATGCAGTATAGTTGTCCTGTCCCCTTGGCAGAAAAACACACCCAGAGCATAATGTTTCCACCTCCATGTTTGACAGTGGGGATGGTGTTCTTGGGGTCAGAGGCAGCATTCCTCCTCCTCCAAACACGGCGAGTTGAGTTGATGCCAAAGAGCTCCATTTTGGTCTCATCTGACCACAACACTTTCACCCAGTTGTCCTCTGAATCATTCAGATTTTCATTGGCAAACTTCAGACGGGCATGTATATGTGCTTTCTTGAGCAGGGGGACCTTGCGGGTGCTGCAGGATTTCAGTCCTTCACGGCGTGGTGTGTTACCAATTGTTTTCTTGGTGACTATGGTCCCAGCTGCCTTGAGATCATTGACAAGATCCTCCCGTGTAGTTCTGGGCTGATTCCTCACCGTTCTCATGATCATTGCAACTCCACAAGGTGAGATCTTGCATGGAGCCCCAGGTCGAGGGAGATTGACAGTTCTTTTGTGTTTCTTCTATTTGCGAATAATCGCACCAACTGTTGTCACCTTTTCACCAAGCTGCTTGGCAATGGTCTTGTAGCCCATTCCAGCCTTGTGTAGGTCTACAATCTTGTCCCTGACATCCTTGGAGAGCACTTTGGTCTTGGCCATGGTGGAGAGTTTGGAATCTGATTGATTGATTGCTTCTGTGGACAGGTGTCTTTTATACAGGTAACAAGCTGAGATTAGGAGCACTCCCTTTAAGAGTGTGCTCCTAATCTCAGCTAGTTACCTGTATAAAAGACACCTGGGAGCCAGAAATCTTTCTGATTGAGAGGGGGTCAAATATTTATTTCCCTCATTAAAATGCAAATCAATTTATAAAATTTTTGACATGCGTTTTTCTGGATTTTGTTGTTGTTATTCTGTCTCTCACTGTTCAAATAAACCTACCATTAAAATTATAGACCGATCATATATTTGTCAGTGGGCAAACGTACAAAATCAGCAGGGGATCAAATACTTTTTTCCCTCACTGTACATGAAATCAGATTAACCAGAAACAAATATCCAGATTTTACTCAAATTCAGATTAAAAACTGGGCTCAAGCAGGCAGATGAATGCATCAAGGTATGACGATTCAACCAGATAAAGCAACCAATAGGTTGTAACCAACTATTCATGTATGGATATACATTTGCCTAATACACGAAACACGGTGGATGCAAACAGACACAAGGGGATTCTACCTAAATAGAATCAACAAGACAGATGGAACTGGATTAGAGATTTCAAGCACACACACAAGCAACCAAATTAATCCAACCAGATGATTCAAAAGAACCACATCCAAGCAACAGCTAAGAAATCACTTGCCTTCATTCATCATCAATCTACTGCTGGATGAAAGCCTCTACAAGCCATATCTACAGTGGCTATAACCATCCCTCACAAATCTGTGATTAATCCACCTCTCGCACCTGCACATACAGCCGATTTCATCGCTGAATTTCCACGTTGGACGTCCCATCAGGCTTGACGGTCCCTAACGCCTACCCTGCGCTGGCATTGTGTTTGGTGAATTCAGGGCTGCAGTTGACTGAGGACAGTGTTTTGAAGCTGCGTTAAAGCTACGTGAGCATACTCTGCCAGGCCGGTCATTGCGAGTTGATGAAGATACTCACCTGGTGTGTGGAATGCACCACTCGCCACTTAGGGCATCCATCCATAAATACATCCATATACGAAGAGAGTCAAGCCAGATACCAGACGTAAGGAACAAGACGGATGAAACAATAATCCACACGCCAAATTCAACAAAATAACACTTTCCTGGGCGAAGACCCCGGGGGCCTGGCCCAGAAAATGCTGGCGGGACTATGTCGATCATGTGGGGTGTGAATGCCTGGGAAATCCCCAGGAAGAGCTGGAATCTGTCGCCAGGGAAAAGGAGGTCTGAACCGCCCTACTCAACATGCTGCCACCGCGACCCTCACCACAAACGGACTGAGAAACAAACAAACACTTTGCTTATGGGTTAGGCCACTCAACGTAATGATTCCTCCAGGAAAAATACAAATACAGTGGAACCTCGGAGATCGAACGCCTCAGAACTCGAACAATTCGGTGATCGAACAAAATTTTCGACAATTTTTTGCCCCGGACATCGAACAAAAATTCGGAGGTCTAACAACTGGAAAGAACCGGTTTGGGCCGAGACGCGTAGCCAGGGCGACCGAGACAAAGGCGAATGACCCAGTTCACGCGTAGCTCTCTCGTCCTTTATCACTGTAAAGTTCCTGTCCCCCAATACGACTCCTCTCATCCAGCCCATGGACCAACAGGTAATTTCCAACTTAAAAAAACTCTACACGAAAGTTATTTTTCAAAGGTGGCAAAATGGGCTGAGTTACACAATTTTGTAGAAAATATCATCCAGATAAGGCGGTATCCAGCAGAGCAGGCGATTTTTATAATGATAATGCATTGAGTCATTTCAGAAACATCTTAAAATGGAGGCAGAAACAATCCTCTCTTGATCAGTTTTGAGTAAAAAGGCCCTCAAGTGAATTGCAGTTAGTGCTCGAAAAAAGGCAAAGAAAAGAAAGAACCCCAGAAGGGCAGTTACCCGACCTGGGCTTGCTGTCTTCACTCCAACGCTGTCCTCTGGACAGTCCAGTCCCTTCACCTGATGAAGGCCACTTGTGTTGTGGCCGAAAACGTCGTGATTTTTTGTTATTTTATTTTTACCTACGTGACTTTACCGAATAGAACCAAAGAGTATGGATCCTTGCAGTCACGAAAGCTTCAAATCTAGAATTGATAACCTCTACGGGGAGGGCTTTCACCTATCTGTTAGAGCTTTCAACAGACAACGGGACAAGAAGTCAAAGCTCATCGAGACGCTGACCTTCCTCAAAAGATGCCGCGACAACAAGCTTAAAGGACGCGACCTGAGCTTGCTGTCTTCACTCCAACGCTGTCCTCTGGACAGTCCAGTCCCTTCACCTGATGAAGGCCACTTGTGTTGTGGCCGAAACGTCGTGATTTTTTATTTTTTTTATTTTTACCTACGTGACTTTACCGAATAGAACCAAAGAGTATCGTTACCCAACGTGTTTATGGAGGGGGACTCCCCTTCCAAGCAACACCGACACCTCCTCCTCCCCTCCTCACCACTTTCCACTCAAGCCATCCACTCTCCTTACTACAGGTAAAGTGAAGTTCAATGTTCATTTATTCTATTAATTATAACTGTGTTTCTTGTATTGTGTATGCTTTTATGTACTGTACTGAATTTAATATTGTAAACTTTGTGTAAAAATGGCCCATAATAGGAGCATCCCTGGGTGGGGAACCAATTAATGCAATTTCCATTCATTCTTATGGGGAAAATTGATTCGGTGTTCGAACAAATCGGTGTTCGAACACGAATTAAGTTCGATCTCCGAGGTACCACTGTATATTATTACACATCCTAGCAGCTACACGGGCTTCTGGGAGTGCTGGATTGGTTTCGACATTAAGTGTCTCGTCAGCAGTTCGGCTTGCTTGAACCAATATCGGTGAACCGCCAGATGTTTATAGGCAAAGACCCTTCTCTATGTATGAAGATATGGGTCCTAGTTTTATGCAAAACTATATAATGCATAACATTAATGGTTAACATTCAATTGGAGTAACCGAGCGGCTCACGCCTGACCTGAGCCGTGTTATAGGCCAGGACCAGAAGCTGTGCGGTGATAGTGGCTACGCTGCCGCACGTGGCTGCCTGTAATCCAGCGCTGTAGAGGCATCAGCAAGGGTTTGTGGATCACCGCACAAACGTTGCTGAACTCCCTTCCCATGGGCATCGAGTTGCCACATCCCTGGATCGCCAGAGAGGAAGGTACAGCAAGTGGACTAATAGCCATCCCTTTCCATCTGTATGGAGGATAAAGCATTGCCCCCTCGCACAAGGCGTGGGGTTTTCTCCGGGTGCCCCGCTTTCCTCCCCCCACTTAAACAATGGCCACTCAGTAATTGGCTCAAAACATCTTGAAATAAAAACCCAATGCAGGACCATCCTGAAAAAGAGTCCTACGACTCAGTGTGGCTCTCCTGGATAGATAAGTGATTTGTTAAGTATTATTATATAAATAAACCAAGCTGCAAATAAGAACACAAGCCCCCAAGAGCCCACACAGGCTAGATGTGGCAGGGGGACAGCTACCAGTCAAGCATCATCCCTGGATTAAACCGTGCATCATCACACATTTCACTAACAACAATAATTTAGTACACATGGTAATCACTCAAATCTAATAAGTGCAGGTACCGTGATTGGAGTTTTATTTTTACGTACAGCGCTTTGGAGATATTTCAACATGAAAGGCGCTTTATAAAATAAAGGTTATTATTGCAATCACAGAGAAAGGCTCTGCTGTGTTTCCCAGGCACAGTCTCCAGGAGTTTCAAGGTGGGGGGGGACTTTGCTGCCTGTGTATGAATTGCGAACAATGCATTCTCAGTAAGCGTTGAGGTGGCTCAGCGGTAGAGCGAGCGGCACGCAATTGAAAGGTTGAGAGTTCAAATCCTGATTCGGTGGTGGGGGGTGGGTGGGTGATTCGCCCTCTCGGCAGGAGTCGATAAAACGAGCACAAGTTTGTGGGGAAGTCAAAATCGCTTGTCCTACAGATTGCCTCATCTCTGCCATATGAGCATGGCATTTCCACCGCTGGCTCAGCACTGTAAAACGGGAGATGCACACCTATGTCTCAACGCTCACTTGAGCGGGAAAGCAACTCTGTGATGAGGCAATGCTCCCTCACCTCCGTTCATTTCCATCCCCTCCAGCTCCATGTCCACATCTGGCTCGGAGCTCTCATCCTCCTCGTCGTCATCGTCCTCCTCGTCGTCATCGTCGTCCTCGTCGTCCTCGTCTTCCTCATCTTCTTCGTCCTCATCCTCTTCGTCATCGTCATGGTCATCCGCCTCATCTCCCTGCTTCCCCTCCTCCTGCTGCCGCTCCTCCTCCTGCCCCTTGAGCTCGAGTGGGCGAGGGGATGGCGGCGCGACGGTCACCGTCTCCTCCTCGTCCGGGTCCGGCTTGAGGTGGCCGTCTCTCGCGAGCGCTGATGCCAAGGTGAACGCCGAGGCTGATGCCGAGGTGGACGCCGCCGAGGTGGACGGAACTAACTGCAAGCGGCGAGGCTGTTTGTCCTTGCTGCCCCGGCTATCCCGGCTGTGCCGGCTGTCCCGACCGTCTCGCCTGCCCGGCTCCTGCTTGTCTTGCTCGCTAGTTGGAATTTCCTGTGGACCGGGACACCGGCAGACACGGAGAACGGATCGGGAAATAACAATCGCGATTATTTTTATTGTTGCTCACGATCAACTATTATAATTTTACAGGTAAGGCCCACTGAGCTATGTAGCTTTTTTTCAGAAACGACCTGGCCGCAAATGATAGTAGTGTGTAGTGAACATCAGCACTGGGGAGACAGAATCATAATCGGAATATTTATTCATCATAATCGGAATATTTATTCATCCGATGCCCAGTAGGGGGCGGGTCAGAAAGCTACAACAACAAATACAGGAGTGCAAAGTATAGGAAAGGTAAGCAAATCACAAAAAAAAATTACTATTTTATCAGGTAAAGCCCACTGAGCTATTAGCTTCTTTTTCAGAAGTGATCTGGACACAAAATGATAGCTCAAAGAAGTGGCTCATCACATTGAAATCGCATGGCGATTCAAAATCTGGAGGGAAAAACTAGAGGATCCGGAGAAAAATCCACGCGACCACGGGGAGAACATGCAAACTCCAAATATGCAGCAGGCATCAGGGTCAGGATCGAACCCACCAACTCCTGTATACCAGGCGAAGTAGTGAAAATTTCGCCACCACGGAACCTCCATTGTTATTATTAAAAATAACAGCACAGTCGGCTACGTATGGTGCGAAAGAAGTTCAACATACTTAACGACAACGTTTACCGCGTCGTCACGCGGCAAGCCGCTGCAAGGTCGCCGACCAAACAGCCGAAATGTTCCGACGGTACTCGTCGGCAGACGTTGCGGCGAGAGCAAGAGACGTAGCCTACGTCTTGGCGAGGCGAGTAGGTTCTGAGCGCCCGCGGCAAGGCCACTAAACGGCACGCGCGCACCGGCGACGGGAGGTGGAGCGACCGCCGACGAGCGCAGCAGATCGCACCAATCCCGCAAAAAGGCAAGGAAGACAAATCCTGAAACTCACAACGGATGCCGTAACGGACCATGCCCGCAACAAGTGGTTCACATTGGCGGCAGAACACCATGCGCACGTATGGCAATCCGAATGATTATTTTAATCCTAGAGAAATCCAATGAGCTATGAAGCTCTTTTTCATCAATGTTCAGTCGGGGGCGGGTCAGAAAGTTACAAAAATATATATATTTTTTTAAGATAGGTGTAAAGTATAATAAATGTAAAATAATCACTATTAAAAAATATACATTAACATTTTATATAACAGAATGCAATTTGGCCACAGCGATCAAAAAAAAAAGTTAATACAATGTCAGCGGAGCAGCACGATATATGGCTATAAAAGGATTTCAAAATCGATAGTTACCGATTCAATCGGCAGGATCGGCTAGTTGAGTAAATCTCACCACGAGACCCAGCCACCACCACCACACACCTTCGCAGCGGCTGTTGGCTAGCCATCGAACAAAGACGGTCACAGCATCACGTGCTTTCAGGTGCACTTCTGCGGCCGTCTGGACCACTCTTCTTCCGATATGAGGAAGCAACTGGCAGCTATGCACTTTTAATTCATCATCTAGATTGACAAACTCACTTATTGAGAACTGCTTTTTGTGTTTAGTTTGTTGCCCTTTCCACTGCACTTCCACTTAGCACAGTTGGCTACGTACGGTGCGAAATAAGTTCAACATACTTACATACACACAAATCCCCCCCGTTTGACGTGCGTTCACACTACGCGGGGGGTGGGGGGTGCCGAGCTCACCAGCTCAGCGTACTTGTTGACCACGTCCTCGAGGTGCTGCAGGGCCACGACGCGGTTGCGCCGCAGCTTGGCCTCCAGCTCGCCGTCGTAGCGGGCCGGGTCAGACGAGGGTTTGAAGTCCTCCGTAAGGTGGCAGCCGAAGTTGTACACCAGATCCAGGTGCCGTCGCTCCTGCAGCTTGGTGCATGCCTCGCTGCGTATGTGGTCAAGGCAAAGAAAGAAATCCGCCATGTAGCCTTTAATAGGCAAGTGCTGTTAGCGAGCAGCAACTATCATGGCCGGCACAGGTCACGATAAGGTGGGGTCGCCAACAAAATGCCTGGCCACCTTTGTCTCCTGTGGCGATTTTCATACATCGCATTAATTTGAGACTGAGTTGACCTAGGGGAGGCCCCAGGACTTTTTCAGAAAATCGTCACTGGTGGTGGCTACGAGCCAGATTTGTAGTGCGCCGCACGAGCCTGCTGCACCCCGCTACAGCATACAGACTGCTCCCAGACACCCATATAAAAACAAAGACCCCCTATAGTCTTTACCAGAGTATCGGAGCAAGTGCCGTGAGAGAACACTTAACAACAGGGGACGGGAAGTTGATGGCTCGGGTGAACGAATGGCTCCGGCAGTCGCACGGTCGCTGCTTGCTGCAAGAGGCTTGCGAGTCGAATCCGGCAATCCGCCCTGGTTAATACTGCGTTGCGCATCCACCATGAAATACGCACGCACGCCGTCTGCTTCATAGTGGACGCTAACGAACCCTTCTGGTTGTCATTCGAAACGGGTGGGCCAACATCGTGGCCCACCATCGCAGTCAAAAATTGCCAAAGTTGCACCGCGAATTCATTACGCAATGGGGATTACACACGGAGCAATCGTCGCTCCCCCCTGAATTCACTCGTTTTTACAGGACCGCGAAACATAGCAGCCTTCGCGACAGCCGCACACCCTGAGGGTGGCGCGAATACCGGGGGGTGTTCATTAGCATCGTTAATCGTCGTGGAGCAGCTAATTGTGGTGCGGGGGGGGGGGGGGATTCTGACCGGAAGGCGTCAAGGGAGACGTTGTGAACCTCGCGGGGAGACAGGCCGAGGTTGTAGCGCTGGTTGGTTGCACGCACCACTCCCTTCACGTCCTGCAGGCCACCAAAAAAGATAAAGATGTACGGTACGCATGTTGAACTTCTTTCGCACCGTACGTGGCCAACCGTGCTAATCAATCCCCCGTGTAGCCTTTAACAGACTGTCGGGGAAAGTGCCGTTAGCAAGCACCGATGATTGGAGGAGGCAGAGCGCCGGGCGGATAAAACGCAGCAAGCTGGCATAGTATAGGGCACAGTGCCTCTGCCGGTCATCTCAGTTAGTTAACCCATGCCACCAGCTGAGTGTCCCGTGACCTGCCAGCAGCAGCGAGTCTCAAAGTGGGAAAGCCTAACACAAGTACCATCGTGACATCACCACCACTTCATGGCGAAAGGCGGATAAACTGTCAACTAAACTATTTAAATTTTACAGGTTAAAGCCCACTCAGCTATTAATTATTTTATCAGAAGCGACCTGGCCACAAATGAAAGCTCAATGAAGTGGCTTATCACGTGAAAATGTATATATAGCAGTCAAATAATCTAAATGCTTGTTAATTCTAAATGTGGAAGGAAAATCCAGGGGACCCGGAGAAAAATCTACACGACCACAGGGAGAGAGACACGCAAACTCCAATATATATGTACGTACGTACGTAGCCAACTGTGCTAATTGGAGGTGCGGGAAGAAGGACACTCAACCCATAGCCATACACAGCAGGCGTCAGGGTTCGGATCGAACCCACGATCTCCCACACACCAGGCGAGGGAGATAACATCTCGCCACCACGGCTGTTGACGTTGTTGCTTGTTGTTGCAGTGTAGTGAACGTGAACGCGCGAGTGCGGGCGACGGCACCTGCAGGTCGGGGAAGAAGCCCGGCTTGTTGATGAGCCGCTCCACATGGCGGTTGACCTCAGGGTGGCGCGTGCACTTGATGTAGAGCCTCTGCTCGATGACCCGCCCCGTCATGTTGGTGCAGCCCTTGAGCTCGCACAACCGTGAGAAGATGCTCATGATCTTGCGCTTCAGCTGGTGCTCCTGCAAATAGGATGAGTCATCGCGGCCCAGCTCGTCCAGATCCAGCTCCCGCTCCTGCACGCACACACACACGCAAAGACAAAGGCCCCCCGTGTAGCCTCTAACAGACTGTTGAGGCAAGTGCTATAAGCACACACAAACACTCATATCCCCTGTGTCGCCTCTAACAGACTACTGTTAGCACATACACACAGATCCCCTGGGCAGCCTTAACAGACTGTTGATTTACGAACTCACGTGAACACAATTGACAAATTACGGACAATTTTCGATTAACAAAATCGGAGTTCCGCGAACGAAATTTCTCTATGGCACGCTTCACAAGGTCATCAAACAAGAAACCACCCAGGAGGCTGCATCATCCATCCGCGACAGTGTTACGGTGTCCCTGCAGTGACAGCAATAACGCCTCCACCTTGCCAGGGACTCCAACATGCAGCAGGTCTTTTGGAGAGTTTCCCGAAAAGCTTTATTTATTTATTAATTATTAATGAATCGTTTTAATATGTATGTTCTTTCTTATTATTGTACTGTGAAAAATTATAGAGGTGTATTGTATTTTTAGGTTAGGAGTACAGTTGAAATGACTGTCCGAAATGGATTCCTTATATTTTTGCATTTAATTAATGGAAAATTGGTCCTGATTGAGAACGTTTCGTTTTAAGTGCATTTTTTTTTTTTCGTAAATCGAGGGATACCTGTGGCATCTCCCTCTCCCCACCCATTCACTCGAGGGACACCGATCTGTACTGCCAAAGATAACCTGTCGAGCCACCTACCCCCCCCCTCCCCAACTCTGTGGTGAACCGCACCTGGAGTCGCTGAATCTCGCGGTTGTAGAGACGCAGCAGGTCCTCCAGCCTCTCAATCTGACGCCGGGAAGCACGCGGTTTAGCCCCATCCGCCGTGCCAGCCTTGGCATCATCTTCACCACCACCACCACCGCTGGCACCATCACCGCCACCACCATCATCACCACCGCCACTGCTGCCACCGTTGCTGTGCGCTGCGTCTTTCACCCGGGGCCTCTTCACCGCCGGTTGGGATGAGTCGACGCCGCCGCCGCCGCTCCGCGCCGGCGCCTCACAGCCGCTTGCCGACGACGCATCCTCTGTGCCAAGACGGTGGTGGGAGGGGAGGTGGAACGAGGGCTCGGGTTGGCGAGGGCGCCGGGTCCGTTTGTTCACGACAATTCGTCGAAGGGCAAGCGACATTTGCAGCTGCCCCGATGTGCATTTTCCGGTAGTGCTGCGTGTTGTTTGGAATGACCAACGTTTCGCTCCACTTGCTTATTCAGGAACAGAACTGAACAACTTGTGTTCGCCGCCAGTTGCGTAACATTACCGGGGAGATGGAGAGCGTGAACTACTTAGTTCAGTTCCTGGACAAGCTCCCAGCAGGTGGAGCGAAATGTCAGAGATCATGCCGAACAACATGTAGTGGCAGTACAACCAGAAAACACAGAAGGCACAACGGCAGATTCTCAACGATAATAGTTGCAGTACAAAATGTAATTTGATGGAAATAATCATGCAGTCATTGGCAACCGGTTTGAGACTAGCGACTCTACGCTTGACGAGAGCCCGGTTTAAATCACAGGCGGTCGGCACCCAGATTCCAACCCAGGATTGTCAGCGGTGCTGGCTCAAGCTCAACCTTGAGACGCTACGTACATCTCATCGGGGGGGTGCGGGGGGAAGGTCTCAGCTGCAACGAGATGTGCGATCACACATCCCTCCCCCACCCATCCACTGGAATGCTGCAACCCTCCGGGCAATCCTGTGAATCGAGGAAAATGGTCGCCTTCCCATTCATCAGTAACCTCAATAACGTCCTTCATCATCGTTTAAAGTCACGTGAGCCCTTTTGGACCCGTGCGCTTAACCTTAAACAATGCAAATTCAACCCCGATGGAGCCTGGAGAGCTGAATAAATAGAATTCAAAACAACTCACAAGCGACCTGTGAAAGACCCAAAACAGAATATTCCTGGGTTTGATCTTCCACGATTGCTCATGGACCACCCTAAATCGCATCCACTGCACAAACCATGGCAGATGCGGATACCTGACGCACAAATGTAAAAAGTAAAACTCTCCAGTGCGAGACTGTACTCACCTAGAACAAAACGTACAACATATAACGATGCAATGCCCAATCCACAAATACGAAGGAGACATCACAGTGATACATTCCGCTTCTCCTGACACGGTTATCTGGCTTGACCACCTGAATGTAAAATTGCCGTTGTTGCTGTGCATCTGCGGTGGCGAGATGTTAACTCCCTCGCCTGGTATATTGGGGGTCGTGGGTTCAATCCCCCTCCTGACGCCTGTATATTTAGAGTTTGCATGTTTAAAAGTATTTGGCTGCCATACATTTTCACATTATGATAAGCCACTTCGTTGAGCTATTATTTGTGATAGCCAGGTCGCTTATTAAAAAGAGCTATATGGCTCAGTGGGCCTTACCAGGTAAAATAAAAGAAATAGTTTAGTTTTAACGTTACATTAGTCACATGAATGAGGGAGAAGAAGCTGCAACAACCACCGCCCCTTGCCTGCCCGCCACTCACCGCGAGGACGCTTGCGCTGTGCGTTGGCCTTGAGCACCGCCACCACCTCGTTGATGTAAACGTACGTGCGCGACGGCTTCTCGGAGATCTTGCGCATGTAGCGGCGCAGCACGGCGCGCAACTCTGCCGACTCCTTGAATTCGGCAGTGGTGTTGGCGTGCTTCGCCCTGAGGAAGCTCAGCACCTCGGGGTGCTTGTGGGCGACGCGTGCGCACACCTCCAGGAACTGTGCCCACGAACAAAAAACAAAGATGGAGATTCATTGGCTTCCGGTTGCTGAACTAATGTGTTGTAAGGTCGCACTCATTACACAGAGAATTTACGCAAATTAACCACAATACCTTGCCGATCTCGTCAAGCAGCGTAAACCATGACGAGTTGATTGATTCTCCACGTGGAGGGAAAAATGTCGTGAAGATGGTCGGACGTGGTTGGTGGCCACCCAGCTCCACCCACCCCACCCAGCCCCACCCAGCCCCACCCAGCCCCACCCACCCCACCCAGCCCCACCCACCCCACCCAGCCCCACCCAGCCCCACCCGCCCCACCCAGCCCCACCCGCCCCACCCAGCCCCACCCAGCCACTCCCACCCAGCCCCTCCCCCACCCAGCCCCTCCCCACCCAGCCCCTCCCCACCCAGCCCCTCCCTCCCCACCCAGCCCCTCCCTCCCCACCCAGCCCCTCCCTCGCACCTCCCCAGCCCCTCCCTCCCCACCCAGCCCCTCCCACCCAGCCCCTCCCTCCGCGCCCAGCCCCTCCCCGCCCCAGCCCCTCCCTCCCCACCAACCCCTCCCCAGCCCCTCCCTCCACCACCCACCACCGCCTATTGTCCCCACCCACCACCGCCTATTGTCCCCACCCACCACCGCCTATTGTCCCCACCCACCACCGCCTATTGTCCCCACCCACCACCGCCTATTGTCCCCACCCACCACCGCCTATTGTCCCCACCCACCACCGCCTATTGTCCCCACCCACCACCGCCTATTGTCCCCACCCACCACCGCCTATTGTCCCCACCCACCACCGCCTATTGTCCCCACCCACCACCGCCTATTGTCCCCACCCACCACCGCCTATTGTCCCCACCCACCACCACCTATTGTCCCCACCCACCACCACCTATTGTCACCACCCACCACCACCTATTGTCACCACCCACCACCACCTATTGTCTCCACCCACCACCACCTATTGTCACCACCCACCACCACCTATTGTCTCCACCCACCACCACCTATTGTCCCCACCCACCACCACCTATTGTCCCCACCCACCACCACCTATTGTCCCCACCCACCACCACCTATGGTCTTCACCCACTACCTACTGATACGCGATTACACCAAAATCCCCCCTAACCGATAATCACCACCATGCATCGTAAATCAAGTTTCTGCGTCGTTAATTGATCCATGGTGGCATTTACTACTATAATGTCCCACGCGTAACGTCCCACCGTCGGCCAGCCACCCTAAATAAAAATAATTAGTGGGTGACGTCACTCCACATGTAACACCCCTCCTCATTAATAATCATGAGCAGGTAACGTCACTCCACATAAAACAGCCCCCACATTAATAATCATGAAGCGGTGACGTCTTCCAAATGGACACCCCCATACATTAACATTAATTCGCGGGTGACGTCACTCCACATGGGGGGGGCGAGGCGCCTCCTCCCCCCTCCTCAGCGTCAACTTACAACCCTCACTACAAAGGCAGAACCCTCATCACACGATCTCTGTGACGCTATCGAGACAGAAGTAAAAAGGACGTCATGATGAACAAGGGATTATAATTTTGATTTAAAGCTTTCGTGACTGCAGTAATTCATATTCTTAGCTCTTTCGGTAAAGTCACGTTGAAGGGAAACAATAAAATAATAAAATATATATAAAACAATAAAAATTATCTCGACGTTTCGACCATAACACAAACGGTCGTCATCAGGTGTGTCGTATTTGCATTAACATATTTATTTTTAAACGTTGTATAAAAAATTAAAACCAACAAGCCAACAACATAATTTCTGATTCAACCGCATTAATTGATCAATCTAAACAGTTTTCGTTGAAACCTTCTGCTGCCAGGCCACCAAGATTATATGGCTTACCAAAAATACATAAAGTAGATACACCCCTTCGTCCCATCGTCTCTACTATCAACTCCCCCACCTACAAACTGGCTCGTTTTTTGTCTGAAATCCTGCGTCCTTTCACTGGAAAAACCACCTCTGTGGTACAAAATTCTACTCACCTGGTATCGACAATCAAGGGTATTTCCCTGTCCCCAGACGACCTGCTTGTCAGTTTTGATGTAGTTTCCTTATTCACCAAGGTTCCTGTACCTGACACCATCGCAACCATTGAAGACTTGGTTCATCAAGGACTAAACACTGAGGTACCCCCCATGGTGAGACACTGTTTAACCAATACATACTTCACTTGGAATGGAACTTTCTACAAACAAACTGAGGGCACCCCAATGGGCTCCCCCTATCTCCGGTTATAGCTAACATTTTCATGGAGAAATTTGAGACTGACGCCATCCAGACTGCCACTCTGCGCCCAACCTTATGGAAGAGGTACGTGGATGACACTTTTGTCATCTGGCCACATGGCCGGCCTGCTCTAGACCAATTCTTCGACCACATCAATTCCATACACCCAGCCATCAGATTTACCATGGAAGTCGAAAAAGATGGCAAGCTACCTTTTTTGGATGTCCTAATTAAAAAGAGACCTGATGGTTCAATGAGCCACTCTGTCCATAGGAAAGCTACCCATACGGATGCTAACCTGAAACCGGATTCCCACCACCATCCATCCCAGAAGAATTCCCTCATCAAGACTCTGCACCATAGAGCCCAATGCATATCTGACCAGGAACACATAGCCAGTGAACTCAAGCATGACCAAACTCTTAAGGCTAATGGTTACTCCGACTACACAATCCGCAAAGCCATCACTCCAACAATGAAAAAAGGACCCTCTTGAGGAGCCTTTCAAAACCATCACTTTACCCTACATTGCGGGGATCACAAAAAAGATCTCCAAAATCTTGAATAAACACAAGATCCAGGTCCGATTCAACACAATCCATAAAATCCGTGATCTGGTTCCGTCTGTAAAAGATGTGATTCCGGACATACAGTACCCTGGTGTCTCAAACTAAGTTGCCTCTGTGGTAGTAGTTACATTGGAGAAACCAAACGCCATGTCTCGGACCGCATTCGTGAACACAAAGCAGACCTTAAACACGGTAGGACCAACACCTCGGCCGTGGCAGATCATTGTTATAACACAGTAGGCTCACATGACATTGACTTTTCCAAGACAGAGGTTCTTTGTAAGCCATCTGGCTACCATGAGAGATTCGTTCATGAGGCTATCCACATATACAAGCACAGAGACAATTTCAACCGAGAAGATGGATTCTGGCTTAGCAATCATCGGAAATATTTGATTAACCATTTCAGGTCTTAATTGATTGTTCAAGCATACATTAATTTTTTCGTCTCTTTTCAGAACATATATGGACTAGTCCTTCTAAATAAACTGCGAAATCGCTGCGTGTGGCGCTGACGTTTTTTATAAATAAGTACACCGTTTACAAATAAATTAATTAATGCAAACCGACACACCTGATGACGACCGTTTGTGTTATGGTCGAAACATTGTGAGAATTTTTATTGTTTTATATATATTTCATTGTTTCCCTTCAACGTGACTTTACCGAAAGAGCTAAGAATATGGGATTATAACCTTTAAATGAAATAAGTCTGTCACCGCAGCCTTACAAACTGCACACGAATTGATGCAATTAATATATCACGTCGCGGTCTGCTTTTCGCTTGCAAGTTTCAGATTTACTGCAATACACCCGTCCTTGGACAGGCAAAAGGCTAGTTATATAAATAAATGTCATCAATGTGGATCATCTTAAACCGGAGTCCACCTGTATTCTGTTCTTGCGAATGGCAAAATGTTCAAGAGGTGGAATGCAATTCATATTCTTAGCTCTTAGTCTTCTCGGCGAAAGCCAATCCCCCTGAAAATTAGTGAAGAGAAACAATAATTATTTTATTGTTTCCCTTCAACGTGACTTTACCGAAAGAGCTAAGAATATGAATTACTGCAGTCACGAAAGCTTTAAATCAAAATTGAATGCAATTGTCAAGGGCTGCAGGCCAAGCGAGGGCATTAGGAGAGAGTTCATATAGTTTTCTATTTTGTACATAGTTTGGGTTGCATGGCTGGTCGCATTGCTATGGCTGCTTATCTAATGTTACATTCATTAAGGAGATGTATGTATCGGCCTGTTAATGTTTTGATGCAGATGATGTTCCACCGAGGTGGACCTGAAGAGAAATGTCAAGAGCCAGGTAAGTGCAATGTTTGGGTGTCGAATGAGGCGTTTATTCTGGACGTCCGCATTGTTCCACTTTGTTCGCCATTCTTCGTTGATTTGTCTCCAGGTCCTCCGATTTTTCCCTCCACATTTATAATCATGCGTTTACAGTATTTGGCTGCTATAAATTTCAAGTTAGAGATAGGCCACTTCATTGAGATATAATTTGTAATAGCCATGTCGCTTCTGAAAAAGAGCTATATCGCTCAGTGGGCCTTACCTGGTAAATTAAAAAGTTAGTCATCAAGTTTTTTTTTCTCTCAGGCTCATACGAGCGTGTGGTTGGCACCAACACCCTCCTCTTAACAAGCCCCTGTCAGTCCTGGGAATCCATTCCTATTAATTAATTACCGTACTACATTTGCAACGTGCACAAATTTAACTTACCAAGGACAATTGAGAGGTGCTGGAGAATAAATAAAACAGAGAATGAATCTTCAGAAACCTATGACTCGGGCGAGTCACGGCTATAGCACAAACCCCTTACTTAATTAACAGTGATCACGGCGACGATGTTTTTAACTGTGGGAAGTGGAATGAAATAGCATTCGCTAAATAAAAAATAAATGGCAACGAATACAAATACGCCATAACGTGGGACGAGTTGACACCACAGTAGTAGTAGTAAGAACTCTTGGAGAATAATAGTTACGATTATCAGAAGGTCTCGTGTGATGGGGTAAAGTGTGGTTAAACCCGAACGATTCCAAGACGCCTGGACAAATTGGAGTAGGCCAAATAACCCCTCTGAAAGGAGAGGCCCTTACGACTCGCAGTGGCGTGAACGCGAGAAAATCTCAAGCCTGTACCGTTAACGTTTACAACGCGGCGCAGTTTAATGAGTTGGTCCGATCGCTCTAGAGCAGTGGTCTTCACTAATTTTCAGGGGGGAGGGGACTTTCGCCGAGAAGACTTCATCAGTGCGACGAAATCCGCCACACCATTTAAAACTATTGGCTTTGACACCACGACGATGATGGGGTGCATTGTCGGGGCACGCACGTCCAAGCTATAGAGAGGCCTTTGTGGTTCCAATGAAGATTGAGGAAGGCGACGCTTCAGTGTCGTCGCCTCCTCCACCTCATCATCATCACCAACCATCGTCGTCAATACCATATCACCATCAAAGACCCACCACCCCCGTAGTCTTAGCAGCACGTTGGGGCAAATACAAAAAGGCTGAAACGGTACACCAGAAGATGAGGGGGGCAAGCAGCACTGCCCGGCCGCCTTTGTCTCCCCAGTGGCGATAATTTTACACACCGCACCAGGTACTCATTTGAGGCTGAGTCGACCAAGGGGAGGCCCGGGACCGGTTCAGACAATCGTGTGACCAGCGTTGGCCGTGAGCGGGAATCACACACACCACCGCTCCCCCACATACCACCATCACAGCTATCAGGCGTCTTCAGAAACCTATTGCTCTGGCTAGTCACGGTTAGCGTGGTTGGCTACGTACGGTGTAAAATAAGTTCAACGTACAGGAGACGCACCGTCAAGTAAGACAAAGTATAAAGTCACAAGGAGCCAAAACCCTCACGGACCGTCATCATCACACAAGTGCAAAACAAGTCCAGAAAGTGTCAAAATCCTCGCGGATCATTTAGCCACAGCTACCACGATCACCACCATCACCATCGTTACCACCACCGTAATAATAACCACCAGGTTCATGAAGATGATGGCCAAAGTCCTCATAATTCGAACCTTCTCGTTGGATCTGCCTCAACCGGCCCTCAACTCAGCTCAGCCACAGCGGGGTCCATCCACCCGAGTCCCCGCCACCTCACGGCGGTGTCCGACTTACCGAGACCACCCCCACAGCAAGAACCCAGGGGAAAGCGGAGGAGATTCCCAAGAGAACCCCGCGAGGTGGAAACCTTCACCAAGTCGCCTCCACCACCCGTCCTCACCTCAGCGAATAGTCTCTGACCAGCGTACGTCTTCATTTCTTCTTTCACGGCCACCGCTGCTGTTGTTGTTGAATCCACCATCGCCGCTGCTGCTGTCGTTGCCGCTGCTGCTGCTGTTGTTGTTGCTGTAACCACAGCCGCTGCCTTCTTAGCCGCAGGAAGCTCTTCATCTTCGTCAGAGGATATATCGATGACGATCACGCGCGAGCAGTCCCTTCCTCGACTGCTATTGTTGCGACTTGCGCTGGCGGCCATTGCTGCCTCTGTGAGGCTCCGGGAGTTCCCGCTTCAGGCCCTGTACTCCCTCGATTCAACCAACATTGGTCAACTCCCCCTCCCTCGCTTGAGCACGAGATGGATTCGTCCACTGAGGCGCCCGCCCCGCCCCGACCCCCCCCCCCCTGATCATTGCGTAACGAGGCGATTGGCGGTCGCCGCCGGTGGCTCGTGGAGTGGGTGAAACCAACTGCGCGTAATGCTTAGGGGGAGGGAGGGTTAACAGAAAGTGTGAGGTGTAAATGTGTGACGTTCATTGGCACGCTTGTATGACAACGCAAGCTGTTATTTTTTTGTAATGTATGAAATTTATTATCCGACAATTCTCTCCTTCCAATATCTGTTCGCATAAAAAGTCTAATTTGACACATCTCATCAGCCACATGGCTTTCTGGGGAGTTAATTTCAGCAGCATTGGTTCAGTACAAAAAAAAACCTCTGGGCCGGTTTAACATTCAGTGTCTCATCAGCAGTAAAGTTTTACTGGTAGGAACCTCCTGGTTACACCACCAGCCCACAGGGGATTATTGTGTCCGTCCGTCCATCGTGCATTCAAAAATGGGAGAGGTGGGGCTGGGTGGAGAGGGGAGGGTGGGGAGGGGCTGGATGGGGAGGTGATTCTAGATTTGAAGTTTTCGTGACTGCAATGATCCATACTCTGGTTCTTTCGGTAAAGTCACGTAGGTGAAAAAATAAAACTAAGAAGGATTAAAAATAAATCACGACGTTTCGGAAGCAACACAAGCTTCCGTCATCAGGTGGGACAACCACAGCAGGAAATAAAATTACTGTAGTGGACAAAGAGACAAGATTCTCTTACAATCACACTTAATATTAACAGAAAAATTGTCCCCTTCTGATTGGGACCGTGTTGACAACATGACAGTCTCCTCTGCTAATTTATTGTCAACCAAATGTAAAGCTAACTTGATCGCTAAATTCAACCTACCTGTCAAAAAAGAAGCCAGACCCACATTAAAAAGTTAGATGTTAAGATTGTTATCAATCAGAGTAGCATCCCAATCTCTGACATTCTAAAATCGGTACTGGCTAAAGAACTGAATTTCACAGTTACCCCTAAACATATCCCAGTGGATAATATAATCTCCCAGGTCGATGTAGCCCTCAAAGGCTTTGGACACATCCAGACAGACGTTGCTAGAGCTGAAATTGCCATTGTCCTCAAAAATGCTAAGAAACCCATTAGCAACATCAGCAAATACGAGCGCTCTGAACTAGCAAATTTGAAAAAGAGGTATGACATAATCATCCTCTCGGCCGACAAGGGCAATGCCACTGTCATCATCGATAAAACCACATACAACAACAAAATCCAGGACCTTCTCAATGATGGTAGCTACTCCAAAATCAACAAAGATCCTACTAACAGCCTAACTACAAAAACCAACAATAACATTACCAGTTCGACTTCTATAATCGAACCAGTCAAACGGCTCTCCCTAAAACCTTCGGCTGCTAGACCACCCAGATTCTATGGTCTTCCCAAGATCCATAAAGAAGGCACCCCACTGCGGCCCATCGTGTCCACGATCAACTCACCTACCTACAAACTAGCCCGTTTTCTGTCTGATACCTTGCTTCCTTTCACTGGCAAGACTACTTCAGCAATACTTACTTCAGCTCACTTGGTCTCTTTAATCAAGGACATTTCACTGTCCCCTGATGATTTCCTTGTCAGCTTTGATGTAGTTTCTCTATTCACCAAGGTTCCAGTACCTGACACCATAGCAATAATTGAAGACTTAGTGCAACATGGATTGAACCCTGATGTCCCTGCGCTGGTTAGGCACTGCCTTATCAACACGTACTTCACCTGGAATGGTACTTTCTACAAACAAAATGAGGGTACCCCCATTGGTCCCCCCTTGTCACCGGTGATAGCCAATGTTTTCATGGAGAAATTTGAAACAGACGCCATCCAGACATCCACCCTACGTCCTTCCCTGTGGAAGAGATATGTGGATGACACTTTCGTCATTTGGCCACATGGCCTGCCAGCATTGAACCATTTCTCAACCGCATAAACTCAATACAACCCGTCCATCAAATTCACCATGGAAGTGGAGAAAGATGGTAAGCTACCATTCCTTGATGTTTTGTTTGAGAAAAAAACCTGATGGCTCTTTGGGACATTCTGTCTACAGGAAAGCCACCCACACAGATATCTATCTGAAACCTGACTCCCACCACCATCCGGCACAGAAGAATTCCCTCATCAAGACGTTACACCATAGGGCCCACTGCATATCTGACCAACACCACCTAGCCAGTGAATTGGAACACGTACACCAGGCACTAAAGATGAATGGATATTCGGACTATATTATCCGCAAAGCTGTTTCTCCAACCATAGAGAAACAACCCCCTGAGACTCCGATCAAAACCATCACGTTACCATACATAACAGGTGTTACCAAAAAGATTTCCAAAATCTTAAACAAACACAATATCCAGGTCCGATTCAGTACAGTACACAAAATCCGTGATATAATCCCATCCGTAAAGGATGTCATTCATGACATGCAATACCCTGGAGTCTACAAACTTAGTTGCATTTGTGGTGATTGTTACATTGGGGAAACGAAACGACATGTATCGGACTGCATTCGCGAGCACAAGGCTGATTTGAAACATGGCAGAACTGGATCTTCCGCAGTTGCTGATCACTGCTATAATGCTGTGGGCTCTCATGATATTGTTTTTTCCGAGACCAAGGTACTCTGAAAGCCGTCAGGCTACTATCAAAGGTTTGTTCACGAAGCCATCCAGATATACAAACACAGACATAACTTCAACTGAGGATGGATTCAAATTGAGCGATCATTGGAAGGATGTTATTAACCAGGTTAAATCTTAAATTGCTTTTATATATTGCTTCCATACCCGCATTCCCAGTTTCTATAGCACGCTACTCCCCCCCCTCCCAGGCCAGCTCATGACCCAGTCGACACTTCATATGGCATCAAAGTGCATCTGACCTGCCACAGGCCCCGTGGTGACGTCGCCATCACTTAGTGGCGAATGGGGGGTATTGCTATTGGTACGTATCAATCTAGATTTGAAGTTGTCGTAACTGCAGGGATCCATGCACTTGGTTCTTTCGGTAAAGTCACATAGGTGTAGTGGAGTACGAAGGTGCGTTGTGGAAACAGCGTGATTACATGATCACACAGACAGTACGGGTTATCTTGGGTCAGTCTGTAGTGAAGGCGAATAGAGTGCAGGTTATGTTGGGGCAATTAAGCTGGGGTAGCCGTGGACGGCTGTGATTGGTTGGTGCTGTTGCCGGGGCTGGAGAGGCGTCTGGAAGTCTGGCGAGGAACAGGTGCTACGGTCACGCAGAGCGCCGTTGGGACGCGGGTTAATTAATTGGGGGTGTAATGATAGCGGGTATAAGAGCGGGAGTCGGAGTCAACAGAAGGGAGTTGAGTTGAAGGGAGTTGAGCTTGGAGATGGGTTGAATGGTGGAGAGCTTGGAGAGAGGTGGAAGAGCGGAGAGCTTGGAGATGAGTTGAAGTGTGGAGAGTTTGGAAGACAGAGTTTGAGAGACAGAGTTTGAGAGACAGTTTGGAAGACAGAGTTTGAGAGACAGAGTTGGAGTTAAGAGTTGAAGGGTGGAGTTGCTGAGTACAAAGACGCTGTGTGTGAAGTCGCTGTGTGCGAAGTCACTGTGCTCGAAGACGCTGTGTGCGATGTCGCTGTGTGCGAAGACGCTGTGTGCGAACTCGCTGTGTGCGAAGACGCTGTGTGTAAAGACACTGTGTGCGGAGTTGTTGAGTGCGGAGTCGCTGAGTGCGGAGTCGCTGAGTGCGGAGTAAGCGAAGTAATCGTGGGGAGTGGAGAGACAAAGGTGGCGAGCGAGTCGAGTGAAGCACGGCGAGCGAGCCGTGGCGACCAGGATACTGTGGAATGTGGAGGACATGCTGAGAGTTGTAAATAAAGCGGTGTTCGGAGAAAGACAGAAGTTGTCCGAGTGAAATCGAACACTACATAGGTATACAATAAATTAAATCACGACGTTTCGATTGCAACACAAGCAATCATCATCCGGTGGGAAAACCACAGCAATATATATTTTTTTACCAATACTGATACTCTTTGGTACGTATGTTGAACTTCTTTCGCACCGTACGTAGCCAATCGGAGGCATCCGCAGGCGGGAGGGACGCGTTTCATTGATCTGCCCCGAGCGATGACAAATTATGGACGGCACGCTGCGAGTCAACTTCGCGAGGCAACCGTCTGCTAGAAATACGCGTTCAGAGTATTTGGCTGCTCTAAATTTCCACGTAATAAGCCATTTCGTTGAGTTATCATTTGTGATAATGAGGTCGCTTCTGAAAATAGCGACAGTAGTCCAGTGGGCCTTACCTGGTAAAATAATTTGTAAAAATTTTCTTCGTCTTTCATATGGCATCTACAATTTTACGTTCAAGGTGGTCAAGCCAGATAACCGTGTCAGGAGAAGCGGAATGTATCACTGTGATGTCTCCTTCGTATTTGTGGATCGGGCATTCCAATAATTACATGTTGTTATGGTCTGTTGTCGGAGACCACAATCGCACATTGGAGAGTTTTTAATATTCCATTTGTGCATCATGTATCCGCATCTGACATGGTTTGTAGGACATGGTTTAGAGTGGACCATGAGCTTCGTGGAAGGTCAAAACCAGGGATCTCCTGCGTTGGGTCTTTCACAACGTGGTGTTTGTGAGTTCGTTTCAGACCGTATCACATCTGTTGAGATTTCTCAAGTCATCTTTGGCCGGCGGTATCAATTCGAAAGCGATGATTGACCCATATTATTAATCCTGGAGGAATCCGATGAGCCGTAAAGTTATTTTTCATATTGTGTCTCCAGTGGGTGCAAAGTATAGGTGCAAAGTATAGGTGCAAAGTATAGGTAAGGCAAACACATCACTAAAATAATAAAGAACACAATTGTATTTAACTAGGTAAAACCATATTCTTAGTTTTTTCGGTAAAGTCACGTTGAAGAGAAACAACAAAATAACAAAATATATATAAAACAATAAAAAATTCTCACGACGTTTCGACCATAAC